CAAAAGAATGAAAACAGGGGACATATGTAAGTAAATATAAAAGCTTTTTATTATTTATATCTCTTTAGTTACAGTGCTTAAACAAAGCATATGTAGGAAAAATGTACCATGTAGTACACAGCCTGGGCTGGAAATGCAAATATACTAATATCTTTTTTTTTTTTTTAATTTTTTTTTACTAATATCATTTGAAGGTAGATTACAAGTGCAAATCCTGTATCAAGCACTAATGTAATAAAACAAAATTATAATTAGTAAGCCAACAAAGGAATGAAAGTAGACTCATAAAGATAATCTTTTAAAGGCAAAGAGGAGGAAAAAGAGAACAAAAAACCAGAAGGTACAAATAAAATAAACAGCAATAATCATATCAAAGGTAGACATGCCGATCAAAAAGTAGAAATGTCAGATTAGATTAGTGAGCAATACTCTGTACATGTTATATATGAAAAAAACTTACAAATATAAAGATTCCTATAGCTTAAAACTAAAGGTGGAAATAGATACATCATGCTAACTGAAAAGAAAGTTGGAGTGGCTACCTTAATAGTAGACATAGGACATTCAGAGCAAAGAATATTAGCTGGGATAAAAAAGTTCACTGCTAAAAGTGATTTATTCATCAAAAGGGAGTAACAGTCCTAAACATTTATGCACTTAATAACAAGAGTTTGAAAACACTTGAAGCAAAAACTGAGTGCAGTTTATTGAAGAAATGGCAAATCTTTAATTATAGTTAGATATTTCAAAAATTTACTCTCAATTTATAGAACATGGAGACAAAAATTAATAAGAATACAGAAAACTTGAACAATACTACTGACTAATTTGATCTGATGATTGACAGTTATAGAACACAACCCCCAATGACAGCAGAGTACAAATTCTTTTTAAGTATATAGGAAACATTTATGAAGACAAACTATATGCTGGGCCACAAACCAGTACTTGACAAATTGAGCTGGGTGTGTTGGTACATACCTGTAATCCCAGCACTCAGGAAGCTGAGGCAGGAGAAATACCAAAAGTTTGAGGCCAGCCTGGGCTGCATAGTGAGTTTAAGGCCAACCTGGGCTACATAGCAAGACTCTGTCTAAATAAATAAGTAAATAAATGTTCTTTGAGCACAAAGTAATTATTTTAGAAATCAATAAAAGAAAGATGTTCAGGAAAAGTTCAGGTGTGGTGGTGCATGCCTGTAATCCCAGCACTTAAAAGGGTGAGGGAGGATCGCTGCAAGTTGGAGGCCAGTCTCAGCTACAAAGTGAGTTCAAGGACAGCCTGAACTGCATGGTGAAACCTTACCTCAAAAAGACAAAAATAAAAAAATAAATAAAGAAAAATATGTACAACCTCAAAATATTAGGAAACAAACATACTTGTAAATATCTGATGTATTACTACTACATATTAGAATGGCTTTTTTTTTTTTTTTTTTTTTTTTTTTTTGGTCTTTTTGAGACAGGATTTCCCTATGCAGTTCAGGCTGGCCTTGAGCTCACTTTGCAGCCCAGGTTGGCCTTGAACTCACAATGATCCTCCTGCCTCAGCCTCCTCAATGCTGGGATTACAGATAGGAGCCACCACACCCGGCTTTAGAATGGCTAATTTTTTTTTTTTAAAGCTGACAATACTAAGTATGGTGAAGACTGAGAGCAACCAGATTTTCAGGATCTGCTATTGAGAATGCAAAATGGTAGTCACCCATGAAAAGATCTGGCAAGGTCTTATAAAGTTACACCTACCATATGATGCAATAATCTCACTCCTTAGTTATCTACTTTGGGAGTACGAAAATTTACATTCACACAAAAACCTGTTCATAAATGCGTATAGCAGTTTTCTTTCTTTCTTCTTTCTTTCTTCTTTCTTTCTCTCTTTCTCTCTCTCTCTTTTTCTTTTTTTCTTTCTTTCTTTCTCTTCTTCTCTCTCTCTCTCTCTTTCTTTCTTTCTTTCTTTCTTTCTCTCTTTCTTGTCTTTTTGAGACAGGGTCTCACTATGCAGCTCAGGCTGGCCTTGAGCTCACTTTGTAGCCCAGGATGGTTTTGAATTTGCAATGATCCTCCTGCCTCAGCCTCCCAAGTGCTGGGATTACAGGCATGCGCCACCACTCCCAGCAACAGCTCCATCTATAACTGCCAAAAATGGAAAACAATCTAAAGGTTTTCAATAGGTGAATGAATGGCTAAACAAACTGTGGTATATATGTAGAATGAACACCATTCAGTAATAGAGGGGAAAGTATTGACACATACAATATAGATTAATTCCAAAGACATTATGCTGAGTGGAAAACACCAGCCTCAAAATTTACATGCAATGTGATTCCATTTCTGAAATACATATTCCTGAAATACAAAATGAGTAATGGGGAACAGATCAGGGTTGCCTGGCATTATAGGTAAATGTGATTCAACAAGGACAGCGTGAGGGAATTTCATTAATTCAACTCAAACTTGTGATCCTCTTGCCTCCGTCTCCCACAGTGCTGGGATTACAGCCATGTGCCACCATGTCTGGCCAGACCATTTAAAAAACGCTAGCCGGGGAGAGAGCTCAGTGGCACAAGTGCCTGCCTGGCATACTCAAGATCCTGAGTTCAATTCCCAGCACCAAAAAAAATAAAAAAATAAAAAACTCTAAAAACTCAGTAATATAAAAGAAATAATATTTTAAATGGGCAAAAGACTTGTCTAAACACTTAACCAAAAGATACACATAAACGATAAGTAGGTACATGTAAAGATGTTCGGTATCATATGATACAAATTAAAACAACAGGATACACTTGAAATGCCTCAAAGTTACAAAAATAGTCTGTAGCAAGTGTTCACAGGGTATGGAGGAGCTAGAATGCTCATACAGTGCTGTTGGAAAAGTACATTGGAATAAACCAGTTTGGAAAGAGCTTGGTAGTTTCTTAAAAAGTTAAACATGTGCCCATTATAATGTCCTATCACTGCATTCCCATGAGTGCTGGCAGGGAACCAACCGAGAGTGTTATGTTCATTGTTTGAAGTAGCAGTAAAGTAGAAAAGCCAAATATTTACCCTTCAGGAAACAGATAAACTTCCACACGTTGTCAGAGGGAATACAAATAGTACAACCACTTTGGAAAACAGTCTGGCTGTTTCTTACAAGATTAAACATATAATCAAACTCTTCTATGTTTATGAGAGAAAATTAAAACTTATGTTTCATAGAAAAATCTGTACTTAAATATTTTTAACAGCTTTATTTGTCATTGTCCCAAACTGAAGACCATACAAATATACTTTAGTGGGTGAATGCATAATTAAGTATGATTCACTCATGTTAAGAAATTTCTCAGTAATAAAAATAACAAACTACTAATATGTACAGCACAGAAGCTCAATTGCATTATACTACACAGAATGTCAGACTGGAAAAGTCACATATTACATGATTCAATTTATACAGTATTGTGGAAAAGGCAGAATTAGGCATAGAAAACAGATGACATCAATCCACATTTAGCAGTTTGTCTCTGTCATCTAACATATCAACACACTGCACTACTCAATGTACTGTGTCCCTTACTAACCTATTACTGTAGGCCTAGAGATTAGCACAGTAATTGGTACATGGCCAAAACTCACAAAATTCCTATTGTTCACAGCACTGCACTGCCCTGGGCCTTGTACTTAGAAAATATTTCTAGCTCTCTGAAGGGCGCTTCCCTCTGCAAAGGGTGAATAATTCACAAGGCCAAGAAGATATACTTGCCCACAGCCTAGTTTCTTTCTAGTAGAGTCTGGAGCAGAGGTGGCACCTCAGCTGGCTGTTTGTTATCGTTGAAAACTCTAAAAGTTCACCATCACTGACTCAGACCATGTTGTGCAAATCTATATCCTGGCTATAACTGCCCAAACGATACCAAGTCCTGTATGAGCTTTTCCCGGCTTTCTACCGCGGGCAGACTCAGCCACTAAGGCAAACACTTTTGGACCTGAAATGTGCCCAAGCCAAGGTTGTTTGCCGGAGTACGGGCAGTGCTTGGCTGTGCCTGGAGTAGCCACACACTGCTTGCAGGGTTCCTTTCAGCTAGATAGGAGGAGGCAGAAATCAGAGGAGAAGGCCAAGTGTGAAAAAACTGGGGAAATGAAGATTACAAAAACAGGTAAACTATCAGAATACGGTAGTGCGCACCTGTAATCCTAGCACTCTGGGAAGCTGAGGCAGAGGGTTTCAAGTCTGAGCTCAGCCCGGGCAATTTAGCAACTCAGGAAATCACTGCCTTAAAAAAATTTTAAAAAGCTGCTGGGGATTCACCTCTGAGAAAGCCCTGGGTTCAACCCCCAATACCACAAAAACAAACGAAGAAGGTGACTTTATTTGTGCCTATAGGGGGTTACATTTTATAAAATTAGTTATGGAATGAGTGGGGCTGTATCTTGAAGCCTCAAGGAGCGAATGTTCAGTGGTGCAATTTCACTGAAATCTCCTTTGACTCTATTTTGTTCAAGTTGCCTCTTTTAGGATTTCCTCAGGTAATAACCGTGCAATAATCCTAACAGGATATTCTCACTTACCTTGCTCTCAAGCTAGGAATACATTCCACAAATTGTCTCACCCCAGCTCTGAGCATTTTCCTCACCAGACCTGGAGCTGGTGCAGCTCCAAGGGTAGAGAGGCACCGCTCTGGGACGTAATGAAGCCCCGGGGTCCACAAGCAAAGGCTCAGGGGAGGTCTTGGGTTGTGCTGGTTCAAGATTACACCTGGAGTTCTCATCCTGCCTCTCTGCGGAGACTCGGGGACACCTATAGAGGGGATGACGCGCCCCCTCAGCCTCCATTTGGACACCCAACTGGAAATCGGAGTCCTCGGACACCATGGGAGCCGCAGCCCCAGAATTTGTTTTTTTCCCCGGTACCGGGAATCGAACTCACGACCTTACGCTTGCCAGGCAGGGGTTGTGCCGCTGAGCTAAACCCCCAGCCCCTAACCCTCGAATTTAGAAAGCCCAAGCTTTGCTCACCCTGCTGGGCGTCCTGCGTCGCCTTAGTAACCACCACTTCCGGCTCCGACCGGAAGCCCGAGAAGAGGCGCTTCAGAGGGCGTGTCCGCCCCCACGTGGGTGGACACTCGGCCCCGCCCACCCTCCGTTATCCGGCTCCGAGGCTCCCCGGGGACCCGCGGCCGTCCCAGAGGACCAATGACCGAGCCTGCCACGCGTGGCCTTGGGGCTGGGGCCATGGACACCTTCATCCGCTTCGCCAACCAGACCCAGGGCCGGGACCGACTCTTCAGGTGAGTACGGTGCCGGCGCCTCCACCCCTTCCTTTCTCGCCCCGGTCGGTGGCGCGTCCCGTCCTTCCGCGCCCCGACCAGTAGAGGGTCGGAGCCCCGGAGCAGCGACGCGCGGAGGGCGCTGCCAGCCCCACGAGGGACCTGGCCCCCGAGCCCCGAGTCCCAGGGCGCCCCGGGCAGCAGCGTCTCCCGGGAGACGGAGTTCTCGCGCGCAGCGCTCTTCCAGGGGATTTCTTTTAAAGAACGTGGGCTTGGCATTTGCGGCTCCTGAAGCAATCCACTACTTGTGTCCTCACACACGCCCTTGAAACGCTTATGAAGCAACAGAAGTTTTTATCTTCCATTATTATTACCCAATCTGAGTCTTGGAAGTACTGCGGGTCAAAGTTGGAAACTAAAAATCCAGTGGCAAGAGAATAGACCTGCATACATGCCGTGCCTTTAGGACTATCAGAGATTGTGTCTCCGGTACTAATCCTTGCCCACAGTGTTTCTATCAGCTGTTTGGATGATTTTTGCTCAATAATCTTAAAAAAAAAAAAAAGTTACTGTTGTTGTTCTCTGGAACAGCTCTTCTCCTCCGGGTGTTCAGGTTGTAACACAGACTCACAGGAAAAGTAGCCTCCGTAAGGAGTCTTGGGAAGCCAGACTTGTATCAGTTTTGTTCTGTTTTGCAGATATTAGCCCTTATCACAACCCTAGGACATAGACAGTGTTGAAAATCCCCATTTCACTGATGGGGAATCTGAAACAGGTAGGAAGTGCCCAAGAGCTGAGATCGAAGTTCATGCATTTCATTCTAGTAGCGACTTCCTAACTATAAGCCACACTGTCTTTTTAAAGGTCCTTTCGATTTTCAAAATGGTTACAAGCATCATTAAAATAGAAATCTGGCTTTGATGGCAGAAACCTGTAATCTTAGGCCTCCAGGAGGGTGAGGCAGGAGGATGGCAATTTTGAGTCCAGCTTAGGGAATTTAGAGACTTACCTTGTATCAAAATTTAAAAAAAAAAAAAAAAGTTTTTGTTTTTTTTTTTTTTTAAAGGATTGAGGGTGTTGCTCGGTGGAAAGGCCCTGGGTTCAATCTCTAGCACTGGAAAAACAAAAATAACTAAAACTCCATAATTTCAGTGTACCTGTTGCCTGCAAGGTTTATCGAGGAGACTGGTTAATAATTGCTTAGGATATACTTATTTAGTAAGATTCAGGATCTCTACCGTCATTTCCCAATCCTCTTAATGATCTCTGTAACTTCCATGGACAAACTGGCATTCCAAAACAAAAACAAAACACCTCGTCTGAGGTCCTGTTCCAAAGGGAGGTACACTGACTGAGCAGCTCAAGCCCTCTCTAGCCAGAAAGCACACTTTAAGATGAGACTGAGAGCAAAGTGCAGTGGCTCCCACCTGTAATCCCAACACCCTGGGCAACTCAGTGATTTAGCAAGACCCTGTCTCAAAATTTTAAAAAATTTTACATCTCCAGCTGGGTATACAGCTCAATTTGAAGGCCCAGGGTTCAACCCCCAGTACCACTAAAAAGGGAGAGAGCAGATAAATTGTGTGCTTCCCTCCCTGCCCAGCCCTATCTTCTCTTTTTATTTCATTCCCCCAAAACAAGTTCACCCATTTTGGAAAATGTGCCACACTTTTTTGAGGAGAATATCCCTGTGATGCAGGGTACTAGGAGCTGAGCCTACTAGTATTAGACTGCCAGATCCATTTGGATGTTTGTGTGATGTCAGGTTTCTCATATTCATGAGTAAGTCATTGCCATTCATAGGTATGACAATAATCACTTCATTGAATAATACTATATTAAACGAGATGCTATGTTTCATATCAAATCATTAATTTCAAAAGTCATAAAATATATCTATACTGATTTATATACTACTATGTGTCTGATCCCTTAGTTTTACAAAATTGGTATTCAGACTGTAGACTTTTCATTTGGTCCTGGTTTAAGGTTGTGTCCTGTCATATAAGTAGTAGGCTATGTGGTAGAAAAGTTCCTTTTAGAAATCCAAAACTTTTTCTGTATTGAGAAAGTAACAGATATGGATCTTTGCAGATATGACACAGGAAGATTTGTGTGCTTTCTCACTCTGACTGCATCCATTTTCCTGTACCTTTGGCAGGCGGTATACTACTTTATTGCAGAATTCCCTTTCATAACCTTTGTGTTGCATTCCCATTGCACGTTCTACCCTTTGGCCCTCCTGTGGGATGAATATTGCAGAATGTTGCTCTTGTAAGAGCCGCCACATGAGAAATTGTCTTGGAATCTTTGCGTTCAGCAAGATATGTTTCCCTTTGCCTTGCTTCATGAATCAAGTTTTATTTGGTTTGTAAATTATTTTCCTCATTTTTTTTTTCCGTTACAGAGCCACTCAATACACATGCATGTTGCTTAGATATTTGTTAGAGCCCAAAGCTGGCAAAGACGTGCTAATGAAGCTCAAGAAACTGGAGTCCAGTGTGAGCACTGGCCGTAAATGTAAGTACCCTGTCTTGAGAGGGACAGTTGCTCCTGGTTTAGAAGCCTCAGACCCTATAACTCACAATAGGCTTTCGAGGCCGTAATTTCTCTTGAACCGAGTATGCTGATGAGGTTAACTAGTGAGGCTGCCTGCTGGAAGTACAGGCCCCTGAGGTTGGCTCTTCTGCTGCAGACTGTTCGCGGTTGGTGCTACACCCGATCCTTGGCGTCCTCCCGACCTGTGGGTTGTGTCACTGTGTGGCTTCACCTCTGTTGTGAGGATTACACCGTGTCTTGGCCATCCCTGACATGAGCTGCTTTTTGTTTCTTGTGAGCTTGCTGTTCTAAGGAAACCAGAATACCTCTGCCCTAGACCGTCTTCCCTTTTCCCTTCTTCTCTTGAGGATTGCTGGATGGATACCTTTCCTTAGGTTATTTACCAGGTAGTTTTGTGTTAAAGGCAATTGGCAAAGGCAGTGTTTTGTACTCATTTGCTTCACTTTCATAACACATCCTCCTGGGAAATCCCAGGCGTCTCAGAGCAGTCACATGCCTGACTCATTGCTTGAGGAGGGTCAGATGTGGCTGCAGTAGGCCAGCAGAGACATTAGAATAGGATGGAGGGCATCTCATACAGGTTGTTAGTGATCACCTGCTTCGTAAAGGAACAGTCTTCAGCCTTATGGCAGAAATAAGACCATGTGTTATAAATAATGATACAAGATTTAGTGCCAAATGTGGCTGGGATAGAAGAAAAGAAAGATACTTTAAGCTAGACATGGTGGTACGTACCTGTAATCCCAGCACTCTGGCAGGCTGAGGCAGGAGAATTGCAACTTAGCAACTTAGTGAGAGACCCTGTCTCAAAAAAATAAAAAATAAAAAAATAAAAGCCTGGGGATGTGGCTCAGTGCAGAGCCTCTAGGTTCAACCCCCACCCCTGAAAGAGAACAAGATGGATGAATGGATAACGGATAGATTTGGAGAAGGTAGAGCTTGAGGTGTGGCTGGAGAAATGGAAAGAGCATTCGTTGGAGGTGCAGGGAGCTGAGACAAGGTCAGTGCAGACTGGCCTTAAACTAGCTCTGTAGGGGCTGGGGATTTAGCTCAGCGGCAAAAGCGCCTGCCTGGCAAGCGCAAGGTCGTGAGTTCGGTTCCCAGTGCCGGAGAAAAACCAAAAAAAAAGAAAAACCAAAACTAGCTCTGTAGCCCAGACTGTCCTCGAACTCATGATATTCCTGTCTCGGCCTCCAGAGTACTGGGATTGTAGGCATTGCTACCATACATGGAGGTAGAATGCTTGGAGGAAAGAGCACATGTGAAGGTTGAATTCAGAACTGTAGGCTGGGCGTAGTGGTGCACATTTGTAATCCCAGTACTCGGGAGGCTGAGGTAGGAGGATCATTGCAAGTTTGAGACCAGCCTGGGCTACAAAGTGAGCTCAAAGCCAGCCTGAACTGCATAGCAAGACCCTGCCTCAAAAAAGACAAAAAAAAAAAAGAACTCGTATGAGCAAACCCTATGATTGAAGAATCGGTGTAAAACTTAAGAAACTAGTTTGGCAGAAAGAAAAAATTTAGGTCCAGCCGTGGTGGCACACACGCCTGTAATCCCAGCACCTGGGAGTCTGATGTAGGAGGATTGTTGCGAGTTCGAGACCAGGCTGGGCTACAAAGTGAGCTCAAGGCCAGCCTGAACAGCATAGTGAGACCCTTCTCAAAAAGACAAAAAAAGAAAGAAAGAAAGGCTTGAGGTTGTCAAGTAGATGCATAGGAAGGGTGGGGTAAGCTTTTCTGGATGGCTTTGAAGGCCAAGATGAAAACTTTCTGCCTTATATTCTTTAGAATGGAACTTGAAGGTCCTGCGGAGGTCACTGGATTCTAAATTCCGGAGAGGGCTTTCCCAGGCTGCTGCAGCCAGTTAGTACAAGAGCCGGAACCAGAAGCTGGAGTCCATTTACTGTACTGGAACAGTCATTACATAAACTCTTTTTGTTGTTTTTCGTAAAATAATATCAAGTACTCTTCTGAGTAAGTGTTCTGAGAGTAGCCACTTTCGAGCCCTTACTGAATCTACAGTGTAGCCCTTTAAGGAAATGTCCTTCTGTACTTGCTGTGATGTGTAGGACTAGAGCTTATTGTCCATTCAGTAAGTACGCACCGCTGACTAACTGAATTACACACTTGCGTGAGGACGTGCTGTTGCAGCGGTGACTAATTCCCCTAGGAACCCATGCCACAATATTACTTATCTTGTCCACTAAACCCTGTCATCTCCATTCTGTCTTCTTGACAGTATGTAGTCAGGTGGGATTTGGACTAGAGAAATAGCAAAGTGATAATTTTCTTAAGGCAATCTTTTGTCTAGAAAATAAAGTGTAAGGTATCAGATACGAAGAGACTGATGCCCCTAGAGCTCACATTGTGGTGGTTCTTCCTTCTGGAAAGTGTAGCCGGTGTCAATCATGTCACAACCCAGGCCGGTGATTAACCTTGCCCAGGGTGTGGTATAAATCAGTGTTAAGGTGCTCACTGGAATGGAGGAGGTACCTTTCAAAAGCCAGTGTCTCGCAAGCCTTGCAGGATCATTTTAGGTGTCCTTACCATACTGTGAAGGCCTTCTCCTTTCCCGAGGCACCCTGAGCCTCAGATGCCCGCCAGTTGTTAAGATGCCAGTGCTAGCCCTCACCCTGCCTCCCCGTCCCACTGGGTGTTAACGAGACAGTGTTAACAGCACATGATCTTCCCACAGGGTTCCGGCTAGGCAACGTGGTCCATGCTATCCAGGCAACCGAGCAAAGCACCCATGCCACTGACCTGGTGCCACGCTTATGTCTGACATTAGCTAACCTGAACCGTGTGGTTTATTTCATCTGCGACACCGTCCTCTGGGTGAAGAACGTTGGCCTCGCCTCTGGCATCAGTAAAGAGAAGTGGCAGGTGCGGGCTGCCCGCCACTACTACTACTTCCTCCTGCTGAGCCTGGTCAGGGACCTGTATGAAATCTCCCTGCAGATGGCCTGTGTGACGCACGAAAGGGCAAAGGGAGGGAAATCAACATCCGGGGATCCTCTTGGGCACTGTGTGGCTGATGAGGAGCCGGAATGGCTCCAGTCCCTTCTTCTTCTCTTATTCCGATCCCTGAAGCGACATCCTCCTTTGCTCCTGGACACAGTGAAGAACTTCTGTGACATCCTGATCCCCTTGGACCAGCTGGGGATCTACAAGTCCAATGCTGGCATCATTGGGCTCGGCGGTCTCGTGTCCTCGGTCGCAGGCATTATCACTGTGGCGTACCCTCACATGAAGCTGAAGATCCGCTAGGGCGGCTGCAGGCCGAGCTCCAGGGCCTGTTCTGAAGGTGACGTCTCAGTGGAACAGGTATTGGCATTAGTCACAAACCATGTCGGGCTGCGATAAAGTGTTTGTCTGCATGAGTGTTTAGCAACCTATAATGGGAGCAGAGGTGAGGCCAGGAATAGAGCACAAGCACAAAAAGTTTATAAAGTGCTACCTCTGAATATTTTTCCTTCACGTAACATTTCCTGAGCGTCTGTCTTGCATGGTAGGAGCTTAGTGTCTAAGGGATGAATAAAAATTGAAAAAGACCTAATCAAGCTAATAAGTGAACACTAATGTGTAGTATGGGTTGGGTTATATGGATTGTTGGTTTCTTGTGCACCCAGCGCTGGGATCCAACCAGTAGTAGCTCCTTTCCTTCCCCCTCATTTATTACCCCTCCTGTTTAGGTGTTGGAGCGGGGTGGAGGTGAGCTGGGCTGGAGCCCTTCTTCCCGATGGCCCTGACTGTCTCTGCACGTTGTCTGAACCTAGTCAGGCACCTTCGTGGTGGAGAGGCGTCTGGGCAGAGATCTTGGTGGTACAGCAAGCACGGATCAGAAGTAGGTGAAGGAGATTTGAGGGGAAAGTAGGTGGAAGGTCACGGCTGCCTGTTGCCTAGCCTGGAACAGATAAGGAAATTGACCCTGGAAAACAAACAAGACAGGTCATCATCTCCTTTCCCGACTTCCTCGACAGCGAGGCTGCAGAATTCTGACCTTTTGCCTCTTAGCTCCCCAAGTTTGGAACTCTCGTTAGGGATTTATATTCCATAGCACAGAAATTTAAACCATCCAGATTTATCCAGATTGTTTTTATTTAAAGCCATGTAACTATTTGGGTGATTCCATATTAATTTTCAAGAAAATTTATGCAGTTAAAAATTTCATGAGTATTTTGTGAATGGTGGAAGATTACTCTTCTGTGATAAATCAGACTTCTGGTCCCTAGGCTAGCTGGGGGAGGTGGAAAGGGCAGTCGGGGGCCAGTGAAAGGGACATGGGGATACTGAGTCAGTGACATTTGCCTGTGCTCCTACTTCCCGTCTGGGGTGTTGGGTGGGTCTTTGTGATTTGAGGTCCTTTTGCTTGAAGGATGTGAAGTGGGGCATGGGGTGCCAGACTGATGTCAGCACCACCAAGAAAGCCATAATCATATTTATCCTAAAGGAAATGAGGAAAGAATATACACTGATTAAGTTTCCCATAAATGTGATTGAGATTCTCGAAAAGTAGACTCAGGTCCTTGGTGCTCTGTTTTTGAAGTAATCACAATGTGCAAATTGGAAAAGAACTTTGCAGGAATTTTAAAGAGAAATGAAAGCTGCTAGAGCAGGGCACATAATGTTTAAATAACTCTTTTGCCCTTGTTCAGATCCTCTATGTAAGAGATTAATTATGTTTAATAAATTTTTAGACAAAACTGACTTGTGCATCTGTGGATGTGTTCTGGCTTTGGAGCAGAGTTACAAAAGGAGGGCCGTCCTTGGTAGAGGGAGCTCTGGCTGTGACATGTAAGAGATTTAGATCTGGGGGCTCTGGATTGAGGGGTCCCCCCCTCTGAAGCTCTGTCCAGTCTCCCTGAAGAGCTGCCCACAGCAGGCCTGGCAGTGGCTGGCTGTCTTCTGCCTGGAGACGTCGCCTTGGGTTGATTTTGGTGGTAGCTGTCTTGATACTTTGTCCCCTGCAAGTAGGGTGGGTGGCAGAGTTTGGGAAGTGCTGCATCTTGAGTGCATGCCTTAATGGTGTCCTGATGCCTGTCCCTGTGCGTCTTTCTCCTCCCACCCCTGCGCCTGCACATTCATGAGGAGTCCCCGGACTGAACAAGTCCCTCCTAGCGGTATGGGCCACACACTTGCACCCGACACTGTTTCCTGAGAGTGTATGCCACAACTGATATTTGAGTGCCACGCTCAGCTTGGGGCTCCACCTGTGAACCCAGGTGGAGGCCCCTGCTCTCATGTGGAAGAGGAAGCAGGGGTGGGGGCCGGGCATGGTGGCACGTGCCTGTAATCCCAGCACTCGGGATTACCCTGGGGAAGCAGGGTTGATGGAGAAGGAAGGTAGAACCCCATGCCCTGCAGTAGCTGCTGGCAACGGGTGCCTCCCACTTCCCTCGGGATCTCCCTGGGCCTTTTACCACCTCTCACCTCTTACCCATATTCCAGAATCCAGCTGTATCGGCCAAAGGATCTGCTTTGTCAACAGAGCTCTCAGGCACAGAGCCCTCTGCTCCCCCTGGCCCGTGGCTGCTACTCTCAAGGCTGCAAATCGCCCTTTGGCCCAGGGTTCAGTCCAGACACAACTACCCGGAGAGTTCTGGACCTTGAAGTGAGGGCAGAGGCCACCTCGTTAGAAACTGCCTGTCTCCTCCGTTCCTAATACTGCTTTCTGAGAAGCCCAGGTTGGACCGCTAGGTGCCAGTGTGTCAGTGGTATAGTATCCCTTTTGGAAGCACCCTGCGTGACTCTCCCCCATACCCTTCCTTTACTATATCACAGATGCAGACTTCATAACCAACTGTCGTTTTGATTGCCTCCCTACACCAGGCCTCTTTCTCTGTTACCCATGCCTTACAACTTAGCAGAGACTCACCAACACAGTACATGCACTTCTGCCAGCAGGAAGGGAAACAAATGTGCTTCTGTTCCCCATTCTAACAAAGAGACTCTAGCAATCTGAACATGGCAGCTTCATCACAGTCCTCCGTCATCTTTGAAGCCAGGAACTAGAACTTGGGACCTGCTGGAGTCCTTGCTGAGGACAAGATGACAGGTGTCATCTGGCTGCTACTGGCCCGTTATAGAATCTTGTCAATCTTCCTCCTCCCAACTTACGCGAACAAAACCTGGTTGGCTGTCCCACTGTCCTTCAGTGGCATTTTAGGCCAGGCAAAGTTCAGCACATTTTCTTCAACTCTGGGAATTTACAGAGGTTGACATTTCTCCAAGGATTTGACCCCCCAGCTCCATCTTTTCACCTTTAAGATCAGTTTGTCTCCAGTGAAGACTAGTACATTCAGATGGATGCTGTCCCCATACAGGTTTCAGTAAACCCCTGGCTAGTAAATAGGAAAGCATGGGAGAAGGAGGTGGAAAACTGCCCCCCAGGACCCTCTGGGGAAAGAGACCACATTACGGAATTAGATGGAACTTCAGAGCTCATGAGTTTAATGATATATATCCTCATATGTTCTTTTTTTTTTTTTTTGTCTTTTTGTGACAGGGTCTTGCTATGCAGTTCAGGCTGGCCTTGAGCTCACTTTGTAGCCCAGGTTGGTCTCGAACTCACAATCATCCTCCTACCTCAGCTCCCAAGTGCTGGGATTACAGGCGTGTGCCACCACACCCGGCTCCCCCCACATGTTCTTTATGGAAAGCAATTTTTACCAGTTGAGGGACAGAAATACTACCAATATTTCTTCAGGGTGCTGGAATAATCAAAGCTCTGAGCCTGGACCACCATCTGCTCTGCAGTCCATCTCCCCATTGGCTAAATGTCCTTATAGCAGTTAGGGTGAGCCCAGGGGACTGTGGGTCAGGTAACCATGGCAACTGGCTGGCCCAGTTTGCTCTTCCTCTCTGCCTTCCTCTAGCTGGAGGCCCGAGGAGTGTTGCCCAAGACTCCCTGGAGTGGCTGAAAGAGTTCTACTCAGAGACGCTCTGCTGCCCGGCTCCGCAAGACCATGAGGCAGTCCACGGCCGTGAGTTGGGGCCCGGGCACAGCCAGACCCGGCTTGTTTATGGGTGCTAAAGGGAGGGAGTTGAGGGGAAGGGCTCTTGGGAATTTTTCTGGGGGTTGCAGCACCGAGGGGAAGCTTCAGAGGAAGGACCAGGAGGACAGAGCAGTGTTCGGGGGCCTCTGGCTTTTCCAGAGTACAGCTGGAATAGCAAGTTTTACAAGTGACTCTGTGCTCACCTGTTCACCTGGCTGAACACAGAGGGATGAGGTACTTGCTTAGAAATGGACAGATTAACTCAGAGCTTTTCCAAAAATCAAAAAACAAGCCTTCAACTCATTCTTCTAGTCTCTTTTGGACACTCATTTAAGAGCCTTGAGGTTTCACGTAAAACCACCTATCCCTTGTTGCTGCCTGCACTTTTCCTTTCTTGTCCTGGGCTGTTATAAGAAATATCTGTCTTGCTAGGCGTGGTGGCACACACCTGTAATCCCGGCACTTGGGAGGCTGAGGCAAGAGGATCACTGTGAGTTCAAGGCCAACCTGGGCTATAGAGTGAGACCCTGTCTCAAAATAGAGAGAGAGATCCGTCTTCACTAGAAGGCTCTGGAGTAGCTCATGGCTGTGGGACCCTAAGGAGTGGCCTCCTATGAGACATCCATTCTCCAACCTAATGTCTTCTCGTAGGGCTACTAAGCTCACTGGCAGCCTGGGCCTGGTGGGTGACCACGAGCAGTGGGGCCCTGTCCTGCAGACTGCAGCCTGCGGGCTCCTCGCAGCCCGGCACTCTCTGCTGTGCAGCAGGAAAAGCTAGGATGGCAGTGAACAAGGGCCCCATGCTGCTGGATGGAGACCTTCCTGTGAGTACTGGGCCCTAGACTTGGGATGGACGGTGGCTGGAGAAGGTGGGCAGGGTGGGGGAGTCAAGGACTTTGAGCAAGGTGTGTCCAAATGACAGTCCCAGTTCACGGACCATGTCTCAGTTATTTCTGGCTTTACCACCTTTTGCAGACAGCTGTGGGAGGATCTGGAGAACAGATAAGAAGCCTATTAACAATGAACCACGGGGTTGGGGATTTAGTTCAGCAACACAGCTTGCCTGGCAAGCGCGAGGTCGTGAGTTCGATTCCTGGTACCGGAAAACAAACAAAAAAATGAACCACTTTGGAGAAAAAACACAGAAATACTGGCTAAGGGACAGGAGGGAACCAGAAACAAGGGAAATGCTATGTCCTTAACCCTAATTCAAGAGTCCATGCTCTGTCTGCCACCCTGACATAGGTTCAGGGCAGAGCTGGGTTCTGGAACATTCTGTGACCCTGGGATCATTGAGGCTGTGAATGGCGACTCCCGGGGCTCAACCTTTGCTGCTGTGCATGGGAATGAGGTAGAATTCAGTGCATCTAGTGTTTACCTTTGACCTGGTTTTCACTGTGCACTGGAGTTATATTGGGCCGGGGATGTACCTCAGCGGCATAAGCACTTCTCTGTCAAGTCTGAGGTCATGAGTTTGATTCCCAGTGAAAAAAAAAAAAAAAAAAAAAATCACGTTTCTAAGGCCTCTCTGATTTGGGTAAAGTTCAGATAGTGAAACTACTTGAAAGTTTTTGTTTTTGGTTTTTTTGGTTTTTCTCCGGTACCAGGAATCAAACTCATAACCTTGCGCTTGCCAGGCAGGCGCTGTGCCGCTGAGCTAAATCCCCAGCCCCTGAAACTTGAAAGTTATGAAGCCATACAGTTCCCATTTCATTCCACATAAGGCTTTAACCTTTGCACTAGATCAGCAGGCCAAATTTTATATTGAATCATAGAATACAGATAGGCACAGAATGGTCATGTGCATAGTTAAGCCTTTTTAATGGATGATGGGGTCTTCCTTTCCCATACTTCTTTCCCCCTTTGAGTTTGTCCAAAACAACCCCGAAAGCACTGTCCAAAATGTTAAAGGGGTTTTTAGCCAGGTGTGGTGGTGCAGGAGGATCACAAGTTCGAGCCCAGCATCGGCGACTTGTGATTTGACAAGACCCAGGTTCAAATTTTTAAAAAGTGGGGGGAGGATGTAGTTCACGGTGAAGCCTTTGGGTTCGATCTCCAGTACCACAAAAAAGAAAAAGGTTTTCTTTTCTTTCTCTAGCTCCAGTTTGTACCTCACCTGCCAGATGGAAAGCTAAGATCTCAGCCTGCTCTGTCTAGTGTCCCTGTGGGTCTTCTCAGTGCTCTTTTATGCAGACCCCTGCACACTGGAGCAGAACCCTGCCGCAGCGGCGCATCCAAAGTTACCCAGAGCTCAAGTGTCTGGGTCGGAGCAGGGAGTTTTCTAGTTTACTTTTCAGGTGGAAAACTGCTCAGGTCCCATCTACCCTTCTCCCATGCCAGCCACATGACTCCGGGCCCCCATCACCCTATGAATCACCCTTCTGGTGTTATGTTGAAGCCAATCCCAGATATTTAATTTCAAACCTGACTTGGAACCCTGCCCTGCCAGTTACTAGCTGTGTGACCCTGGACGAGTCACTTCACGTCTCTGAATCTCTGTCTCCACATCAGCAGGGTGGTGGTAGTATTGCTGGCTCAGGCTCACTGTTGGAATTAGATGAAGGCAGGCCACCAAGGCACCCATAATGGTACCTTCTGCACCCCCAGAATCTGTTCTTTCAAAGACCCGTCTTTTCCCATTAAGGATCCTCAGTGAGCTGAGGTTTCCTTATGTGACAGCCGCCACAGTTAGGTGCTCTAGTAAGAGCACAGCACCCCAAAAAGGAGAAACAGTGGTCCCACCACACCCTGGATGCTCAGGCCATACCTGGAACCCTGTTTTCAAACCTGAGTGCTGTATTTATTTATTTATTTATTTACTGGTACCGGGAATCGAACTCAGAACCTTGTGCTTGCCAGGCAGGTGCTTGTATCGCTGGGCTATATCCCTGGCCCTGCTGTATTAAAAAAAAAAAAAAAAGACAATGTCAAACTGCAGTATATCCAGAGGAGGGGGTCACCAGACGGTGCTGTGGACTATTCATAAACTAAGTTGGGACCTAGAGCTCTTCGCTATGGAGAAGAATCCTCCAAAGGGAGACATGTTTATCTTCAAATATGTGAAGGGCCAACCCATGAGTGATGAAATAATTTTGCCCAAAGTTGTTCTGGGGCAGAGAGGGTAGGGCAGGGAATGGAGGTGGGCTTCAGTTTTGCAAAGCTGTCCAACAGGGGCACAGGCCACTCTGAGAGAGGCCAGCTCCAGCTCGGGAGAAGTGATACATCCACACTCCAGTCCAGCAGGGAAATTCTGGAGCAGATTCTTGCTGCAGAGCCCCCTGCAGGCCAGGATGCTGCGATTCTGTGCATAGGGCAGATCTAAACTTCCATGTTCTCCAAGGCAGTGCTGACTGTCATTCATTTCTCCAACTAACTTTCCTGGGTCTGGCAAGGTCCTGGGGTGCAGAGACAACAGTCTCCTGGGAAAAAGAGGCAGTGACAGATTAGAGACAGCCCAGGGAAGGACCTGGCAGCTTCTGATGTGAGGGCGGAGAGGCAGGAAGCTTCTTGGAGGAAGCGATGGGGAGGTGGAGGGAAGTGTGCGTGCTTGGCTGTGGACCGGCATCCTCAGGCATGAGGCTGTGATTTAGAAAGGGTGTGAGAATGTTTAGATGAAGCCATCGTTCAAACTCCACGCAGATGCGTTCATGATGCTTGCTGTCTCCCGATAAGTCTGAGGTGGGGCTATAAGGAGGCTGTGGTTTGGCCTGGTCCCCAGATAACACAAAGACCCTAGCAGCAGAGCCTGGTTGTGCCCAGTGGGGCCTCAAAGGCAACTCCCATGACTCCAGCATTCCTTGGCCCAGGTTCCTCCCAGACCCGTTGGACTCAGGCTGGCCTCTGAGGCTAGACTGGGCTCCCTTCCTGGGAGGTTGGGGAAGGGCTGACTGCAATGTGATCCTTCCCGGCCAGGAGCAGGAGAACGTGCTGCAGCGCGTCATGCAGCTGCCTGTGGTGAGCGGCACGTGCGAGTGCTTCCAGAAGACCTACGCCAGCACCAAGGAAGCCCACCCCCTGGTGGCCTCCGTGTGCAACGCCTACGAGAAGGGTGTGCAGGGCGCCAGCAGCCTGGCTGCCTGGGGCATGGAGCCGGTGGTCCGCAGGCTGTCCACCCAGTGTGAGTCCTGCTCACGCCCACCTGCTGGGCTCTGCATGCTCTGTCTGTCTATCTGTCTATCCAGTTACCCAGTCACTTCCTTGCTGGTCCACCTGGCTGCCTGCATTCTATAACCTGGTCATCTTATCCATCACTGTTAGATACAGATCTCTGAACCTGCGCATACCTCAGCTAGAGCCCAGGGACGGTTTCTGCAGATAACAATGACAGGTCAGAGAAGTTGCAGGAGGAGGGGTGGGCAGGGCTATATGGGCAGTGATGGGAGAGGGCGGGGCTGACCAGTAGCAGGGGCAGCAAGTACTAGAGCTGGCCCAACTGCTGATGGCACCAGCTTGTGACAGATAAGGGCAGCAGAGAACCACCAGCCAGGGGCCCGGAGGTGAGAGACCAATGGCCTTGTAATCTCACCAGATGTGGCTGTGCAAATTGTTCTGTCCCATCTGGAAATATGGTCCTAAGGCCCTGCTCTCGTCAGGGCTGTGAGACATCCCAGGAGTGCTGAGAAGTCCCATACCCGCCACCCCCAAAGGAGAGAACCGGAGTACCCAAGGGCTCCACAAAGCAGTAGACAGGGAGGACAGACAGGCGGAAGACCCAGGCCCTGGGCGAATCTCACTTCTTACCTTCCCCTCCTTGCTCCCTGCCCCACCTGAAGACAGGATGGAGCACTCATAACTTCTGTGCCCTGCAGCTCCCAGCAATGTCCCCCGAGGCATTTGCATCCTCTGGTGGGGGGCAAGGGACAACTCTTCTCTTTCCTATGACCACCCCTGCTTGGTACTGTCAACCTTATCTCAACACTGACTGGTTAAAAGCAAAGGCCACTGTGCATGGTGGTACACACCTGTAATCCTAGCACTCTGGGAGGCTGAGGCAGGAGGATATGAGTTCCAGCCCAGTTTGGTCAACTTGGTGATTTAGTGAGAACCTACCTCAAAAAGAACAGAGAAGAAAAGAAAAGAAACTTAAAAGGGCTGGGGACGTAGCTCAGTGTGAAAGCTCTGGGTTCAAGCTCTAGTGGGAGTGGGGAGCAAGAGCCACAAACAAGCTTGTAGCTGGAAGCTTGTTACCCCCACAGCTTGTGGCTGGAAGCTTGTTACCCCCAGGACTAAGCAAGACTAGGCCTGGCCCCACTTTGGCCAACCCCAGGGCCACCCACCTGCTACCCACACCCCTGCTTTCCCTCTTCCGGGTGCCCACTCAGAGCCCTACACAGTGTCGGGGGGCAATGCCGTTGGTGATTCATATGGTCCCATGGTTCCTCCTCACTCAGCCAGGCTGTGACCTGCCTGAAGCCACAGCTGGGCTGTGCAGGAGTGAACCTGGCCTCGAGTGGACTGGGGAGAAAGATGGCAAAGGGCCTCGGGCTCAGGATGCCTGGGAGGCAGCAGGCTGGGCATCTGAGGGCCCCAAGGTACTTTCCCGGCATGGAGGCCACTGCTGGGTCCTTGCAGTAGGGGCAGGGCTCACCCCAGCACCCCTTCTCTCCAGTCACAGCTGCCAATGAGCTGGCCTGCCGAGGCCTGGACCACCTGGAGGAAAAGATCCCAGCCCTACAGTACCCTCCCGAAAAGGTGAGCCCCTTCCCCTTCTCTGATGCCCCTGAGCTGTGGGCTCACCACCTCCCCAGAAGAGGGTGGGAGCTGCTGCTGCCAGTGCTGCCACTGCACGCAAACACTGTCCCAGCCTGGGGAGGCTGCCAGCCCTCAGGGGGCAGGGTTTGCAGGACAGCAGGCACGGGCCCAGGGCAGACCCATCGGGGAGCCTGGGGTGGGTCCCACAGCCACCTGATACCAGTCCCTGGCACCTGGGGCTCTGTGGGTCTGCACTGGGTCGAAGGTGCCTAAGATCATGGGGTGCATTCATCAGGGTCCCAGGATTGTACCCCATGTCCTCAAGGTCCAATGCCTATGGGCCTGGAGACCAAACAAGTCTCTGCCGCTGGCCATATCTTTATTGGGTGTTGGCTAAGGTACAAGCTCAAGTTAGGCACTTTGGGGGAGTAAACTCCAGTCCTGAGTCTCTGGCATTATCCATTTCATTGACTGCCCCCCGCCCCTTCTGGGAGCCTTCCCTGAGCCCCGCACTTGCTGGGGCTGTGACTCGAGCTCTCCAGAGCCCTCTCATTTAATCCTCTTCCAACCTCTGCGAGAGGGCTCCTTGCCCATTGTACAGAGGAGAAAGCTGGTGACTTCCGGCAGCCACAAAGCCTGAAATAGAGACCCTAGGGCACCAGGTCAGTGTGGGCTCAAACGAGCGTTTTAGCTCCAAAGCCAAAATATGCCTGGTTATCTGGACAAAAGGCAACAATGTCTTTGTCACAAAGGAAGTCCCAGCGATCGAGGAGGAAGGCTGATCATTTCGGGGCAGACCTGGTAGGAAGTGGAAGGACACCTGTCCATCAGTATAAATGCAGGTGGAGCCCGCCCCTTGTTCAGAGAGGATACAGGACACAGGACAGGAATCTGGGGAGGTGGCACCAGGGGAGCAGGACTGGTGTGTCCCGGGGCAACTTCGGGGCTGTCCTCACTACAGGGGCAGCATCTTGACAGGCAGCATGGTGCAAAGAAGCCAGGAGATCAGGGTGGTTGGCATGGGAATTGGTAGAGTCCTTTCCCTCTGAAGCCTGGCTTAATCCAGGTACCCACACACCAGTGCCAGTCCCCTCGGCCTTTTCCGTGAGGCCTTGGGCCTCCCACGGCCTGCAGGGAGAGCCCTGCAGCTGACTCCTAACCCCCACCACCCCCAGATCGCCTCAGAGCTGAAGGACACCATCTCCAGCCGCCTTCGCAGTGCCCGCAACAGCATTAGCATGCCCATAGCGAGCACTTCGGACAAGGTCCTGGGGGCTACGCTGGCCGGCTGCGAGCTGGCCTGGGGAGTGGCCAGGGAGACTGCGGAGTACGCCGCCAACACCCGAGCAGGCCGGCTGGCCTCTGGAGGGGCCGACCTGGCCCTGAGCGGCATTGAGAAGGTGGTGGAGCTCCTCCTCCCTCCAGCCAAGGAGGAGTCAGGTACCTGCAGCAAGGCTGGCACACTACCCCTGTGGCCCCAGCGGGCGCTCACACACCTGCCCCATGCTGGGCAAGGGCTCCTCCAGCCTGAGGAGTAGGGACAGCTCAGTGGGATTTCCAGAGGGACCCAGCATCACCCAGGCCCTTCCCCATCTCGGAAGAGGGGAAGTGAGTGGCATCGGTTACCATGCCTATGGCTCACCCAGCCCCTCTCTGACCTGCTTTCCCTTCTTCCCTCCAACCTCCATGCAGCCCCTGCTCCTGGACGCCAGCGGATTCAGAAACCTCCCAAGGCCAAGCCGAGCCTCCCGCGCAGGGTGGGGACCCTGGCCAACACCCTCTCCCGACACGCCATGCAGACCACAGCCTGGGCGCTGAAGCAGGGCCACTCCCTGGCCATGTGGATTCCGGGCATGGCGCCCCTGGTGAGAGTTGGGGCTCTGCCTGGGCCCACCTGGGCCCTGGTCCCTCCCACCCTGGAGCATTCTAACCCAGGATGGGACTTTAGCTGTGAGGACAAGCGGCCTTTAGAGGGGTGGAGGGCTAGTCCTCCGGGGTGCTGGGATGGTCCTGCCCCACTGCCCACTTCGGTCTCCTTGTTCTTCCCCTGACCCACTCCCCGACACCTCATCCCAGCAAGTGAGCCTCTTGCCGTGGGCTCTCCCAGCAGTGAGGACACCTGCTACCCCGGCCCCGGAAGTGTCCTCCTTAAATAAGGAAAGCACAGAGCCTTCTGCTGGGAGAAAGCCCAGGCGGCCCTTGTACCTCATTGCCCTCGTTTTGTTTTGTAGGATATTGTGATTTGGAACTTGGGTCTATGTAGCCCAGGTTGGTCTCAAATTCACCATCCTCCTGCTTCAGTCCCCTAAGACCTGGACTACAGACATGCACCAATTCCAGCTTTTCTTTTTTCTTTTTTTTCTTTTTCTTTTTCTTTTTCTTTTTCTTTTTCTTTTTCTCTTTTTCTCCCTCCCTCCCTCCCTTCCTTTCCTTCCTGCCTCCCTGTGACCTCTATGCCTCCCAAAAGACATGTGAAAAATGTTCATGTCCACTTCGTCCTTAGCCAAGAACTGGGGACAGCACAGAGGACAGCATCCTGTACAAGGGGCATCGGGCAGTGGCTACACAGGAGTGTCACATGGGTGGAAGGCAGGAGGCCTTCCATGTGCAGCTGCAAGGAACCCTGCCACACATACTACTGAATGAAAGAAGCCATTCATGAGCAAACACACGGGTGACCCATTTATAGGAAGCTCGAAATAGCCTGGGACTGGGGTGAGCTCGGAGACAGAGTGCTCAGCCTGGTCGTAGTAAAGCTGAGGGTTCCTTCCCAGCACCAAAAACAAACAAACAAACAAACGAACCCTCCCAAAACAAAAAACCAATGAATGTGTGGTTGTGGAGGTCTGAGCTGCGGTCACTCTTGGAGCTGGGACTGAGTGGGGGCCCCGGGGCTCCTCTGGTGTGTTCTTGAACTCTTACACAGTGATGTGCTTGTAAAATTCACAGAACGGTTCACCCTCCCACATCCTAAGCTGTCGCTCTATAGAGTTTTAAGAAAAACCTGCTGGGGCTAGCTCTGCCCCAACTCTGGGGACGAGGGGCTCCAGCTGCCGGGGTCCCGGCCTTCAGCAGCGGCTGCTGAGTGGTGGCTGCCCTGTCCCTCCCTCAGAGCAGCCTGGCCCAGTGGGGCGCATCGGCCGCCATGCAGGTAGTGACCCGACGACAGAGCCAGGCGCGTGTGCCCTGGCTGCACAACCTCGCTGCTGCCCAGGGTGAGGACCACGACGACCAGACAGACCCAGAGGGTGAGGAGCCGGAGGAGGAGGAAGAGGAGGAGGAATTGGAGACAGAGGAGAACCCGCTCAGTGAGGTGAGGGAGAGTGTGGGGGCCCGAAGCCCCACGGCCCATGGTGGGTGACACGCAGAGGCAAACGAAGGTCTCTACCCGCAACCCAAAGTATTTCCGCGTCGCTCTCAGCTGACCCTCACAAGACTCCATAAAGGAGGCAGGGTAGAGATGATTGTCCTGTTTTGCAGACCAAAACACTGGGCTTAGACAGGGAACTTGACTTGCCCAAGGCCACACAGCTCGTGGCAGAGCCAGGGCTGGAGTTCTGTCGGCTTGGCGTCCACGTGCCCTCCCCTGTTGCTCTGGGGCTGGGGCAGGAAGGCAGGGTCAGGAGAGTCGCTACGGGTGCTGACCTTGCTCTGGCCCTCAGGTGGAGGCCCTGCCCGGCCCACAAGGCCTCCTGGGCACTGTGGTGCACACCCTGCAGAAGACGCTTCAGGGCACCATTTCGGCTGTGACGTGGGCACCCAAGGCTGTGCTGGGCACGGCGGGGAGGGTGCTACACCTCACAGCGGCCCCGGCTGTCTCTCCGATCAAGGGGCGGGCCATGTCCCTGTCGGATGCTCTGAAGGGTGTCACCGACAACGTGGTGGACACCGTGGTGCATTACGTGCCGGTGAGTCCCACCCTGGAGCCTTCTTCTCTCCGGGGCCCTAAAGCAGACTTCCCACGTCCCTCCAGACCCTGGAGAGCCTCTTCCAACCTCAGTGCCCTGGAAACACTTGGACATACTGGGGTCTTCCCAGCCCCAAGAGCACAGAGGCAGGGGACCCCTGCTGCTGGGGGACTCTGGAGACCCCAATGCCTCAGCCCTCACCTGCTCCTGAAGGACGTGGCAGGTGTTTGTGCCCTTGCCTGGGGGGTGGTTTCCAGAAAGCAGCTGGCTGAGTCCCAACTCTATCTCTTGTCACCAACAGGAGAAAGCCAAGGGACACTAGTGCCGTCCCTTTAAAGTTCCCAGGCCCCTACCCAGAGCAAGTTGCAGGTTGATCAGGCTCAGGGAGGGTGGGTCAGGGTACGGGGCACCCCAGAGTTGGCCAGAGGTGGGCTATTCAGTCACTCCCACCAAAAGCCCCCCGGGGACCTTGGCAGCCAGCTTGGGCCCAAACCATGCCCAGGGAGGGGTACCTGACCCTGGCCGAGTCAATGTGTGGCCTCGCTGAGCCTACAGCTGTGGCCCAAGGAAGGGTTAGGAGAGTCACCGACGTCCTCGGGGAAAGGTCTTGCCTTGTCCGAGGGGTCACCCTGCAGGCTCTCAGTTATCGGACCCCAGAGCTGTCCCTGGCTGTCCATCCTGCTGTCCCACACCCTGGCCTGTGCTCTCGCGTGGCCGCTCTTAGGGGATGGAGGCGAGGATCCCAGAGGGGGCCTGCGTCCCAGGCGTGGTGACGAGGGCTAAGCAGGGACCCTAACGCGCCTGCTGGGCCCCCAGCTCCCCAGGCTGTCGTTGATGGAGCCCGAGAGCGAATTCCGGGACATCGATAACCCGCCTCCGGCTGACCCCCAGCGCCGGGAGGCAGAGCGCAAGGGGTCGGGGCCGCAGCCCGCCAGCCCCGAGCCCGCGCCGCACCCGGCGCAGCACCGTGGAAGCCTGCGCGGCCGCAGCTCCGACCAGGGGGACTCCGGGGACACGCCCGCCGCGCCGCGCCCCGGATTCCTGGCCACGCCCCGCGAGAAGCCGGCGCGCAGGGTCAGCGACAGCTTCTTCCGGCCCAGCGTCATGGAGCCCATCCTGGGCCGCGCGCAGTACAACCAGCTGCGCAAGAAGAGCTGAGCCGCGCTACCCCGGGCCTGGGCTGGGCTCCCTGAGCGAGAACCCACGCTTCCAAGCCGACTCCTCTAGAGGGTCTCTTGGGAGCCCGAGCCTCCTGGCCACCGTGCCGCCCAGGCACGCATTTCTGAAGCGTCTCTTTTGGGGTCTGCCTCGCTCAGCAGCTTGCTCTGATGTTATGTCTTTTCCCCCTATAGGAGTTGTTGCTTTAACTTGATCTCTCACTTCTTTAACCAAATTGTGGCCAGTGACAGTTTTAGCCTTGAGCGCAGAGATCCCTGGCTACCTAAGCTCTCGGCAGACCGCTCTGAAGGGATCGCCAGGTGCAAAAGCACTTGTGCATTTATGTAGCGTTAGGGTCACTCTCGGAGTACCAGCTGCCCTGTGCAGGCAGAGCCCCGGCTTGTCCTCTATGGCGCCACCTTCTGGTCGACAGCCACATTTCCATTTGCATGGTCACTTAATGCTGGCACCCCAATAGTAATCTTCACCCAACAGTCTATGTTCTCCAGACCATATATACAGACTCCATAGTTGCTATTCACGGCAAGTCCTCTTTTTGGAAATGTTAATAGTAGTTGGTAAATAATAAAGTAGTTGGTAAATAATAAATAAAGTAATAGTTGGTAAATCTAGGAGATGCGTAAATATAATTTAAAAATTCAAACATTGCCAAAGTGTGTTTTCCTCTCTGAATTGTCCAGTTTGCCTTTGTAAGAACAACCATGGTATGATCAGTCCCATGTGTATGCTTCTGGTTACGGGCTGTGTGTATGCAAGTGCTTGCATATATACTCACCTCTATGTACCCAGGCTGTGGGATGGTGTGCTCAACTGCCTTTCTCACTTAACAGTACATCTGTGGGCCAGGCGCAGCGGTACATGCTTGTAATCTCAGCACCCTGGGAGGCTGAGGCAGGAAGGTCAGAAGTTCAAGCCCAGCCTGGGTGATTTAGTGAGATCTTATCTCAAAGAAGTAAAAAGGACTGAGGATGTAGCTCATTGTGAAGGCCCTGGGTTCAATTCTCAGTACACAGACACACACACACACACACACACACACACACACAATCCTTTGTACCAGGATCATAAACCCCATTCGCTCTTTTCAATGTTAATTTCACAATATGGTTGTACACATTTAATTTAACCAGCTACCTAATGGGGGACTTCTAGGTTGTTCTCAATCATTTTGCTACAGTGGTATAATAAATGTTCTGCTCAAAAATGTCTCACATAGGCCTGGAGGTGTAGCTCAATGAAAGTGAGTGTGCTTAGCATGTGCAAGACTGGGTTCCATCCTCAGCATCACAAAGCTTTCAAAAGTCTCGTGTGCATGTGTGGCTGTATTGATGGGTAAACTGTCGTTTGTAACCATGGTGTCGTGACATGCTGGGTGAGACTGTGTGCATCTCAAATACTGAGTGAGAATACCAAGTGGCCTTGCGAACCACACCCTATTTTTCTAGTTGTTTTTGTCTGCACAGTTATGACACATCTGTTGACCCTTTTACGCATCCACATGTGCACCTGTGCCTGCTAGATCCCCCTTAGACCCACAAGTACCTTCTCGGTGACTTCTCTGTTGCACACCTGAAATCCCAGCTTCCTGAAACCAAAGCTGGGGCCTTGGCAGATCATGGATGTGAGTTCCAGGCCTCAATGCATGGTTTTAGAGTTTGAGGATTCCGGGAACAGCCACATGGGTGGCTGCTGGACTCATGTATGAGGACATGAGCACCACCCATTGTACTCATCAGGCCCAGCAGTTCTCTGAGGGTGAGGGTGAGGGTCTGGCAAGAGGGGGCTCCCTCAGAAGCTGATGTGACAGGGCTGTAGAGACAGCACCCAGTGGCAGCTCCCGGGATGATACCATCAAGCCTGCGTATGCAGAGGGAAGCACCTGCCTGCCTTGGCCTCCTCCATCCAGGCTGCTTTCTCCTGGGGCTCCAGAAGACACACTCCGAGCCGCCCACTTCATAGCTCCACGGCTGCTCCTGCTAAGCTGTGCTCCAACAGGCAGAAAGCTGCCCTCTCAGCACCCATGGGCGCTGGGGCCTGGACAGGACTGCGCAGGTAACACACCTGCTAGCCAGGCCTGGATCCTGACCCAGGCCTGGACCTTGGCAGGGATGTTGGGGGGCAGTAAACAGAATACAGCAGTACATCGTAAAAGTCACTTTTTGGCCCCCCAAGCCAGAGCCACGGCATTTCAGAACATTTGCCAGGAACAAGGACAAAGTAGCTCCGTACATGGTGGACGCTGGCTTCCCTGGCTGTAGGCTTGGTGGGGATCTTTGAGCCAGGAGCCAGCGCTGTGTGATGAGCCTTCTCAGTTAAGTTCACACTCAGTATCCTTGGTAGCTCAGGGCCTAGGGAAGCCGCTGTCTCACTCCAGAAAGCCCAGGAACCCTTACCAAACACACACTTCCTGTCCTCTGTCTTTGAAACTTTCTCATCGCTGGAACACAACATCAAACACCTACAGTTTAAAGGAGGAGAGATTTATTTGGTGGAGGAGAGCTGCTCTTGTCCAGGAGCAGAGAAAGAAGGAAAGAACAGGGGTGAAGATACACCCTCCAGCCTATACCCCTGCGACCCACCTCTTAACAAGACCCTGAGCTATAAACTCACACTGGACCAATCCACTGAGGAGAATAGCACCTCCATGATCACATGAGGCTTTGGGGGACATCTTCTAGCTTTTTTTTTTCCGGTACTGGGAATTGAACTCAGGACCTTATACTTGCAAGGCAGGTGCTATGCCGCTGAGCTATATCCCCAGCCCTGGGGGACATCTTGATATAACCATAATGCCCTCAATTCCAGCTTATAAAATGCATCTCCAACTCAGTCACAGTTCTGCTTATAACTTGTTGGGAAAGAGTTAGTCACACGGCCCCACCTAGCTAAAAAGAGGCTTGGGAAATATACTTTTTATTTGCAATGGTTATGCAGCCAATTAAAAATCAGGAGTTCTAAGTGGAGGGGAAGTAGACCCCAGAGGAAGGGGCAGCTTGCAGCTTCTGCTACATCAATCTTTTGTTAATGGGCATTTGAGTCGTTTCCATATTTTTACGGTTATTTGTGCTGGGCATGGTGGTGCACAGCTATAATCCCAGCACTAGGAAGGTGAGGCAAGTTCAAGCCCAGCCTAGGTGACTTAGTGCCTTCTATCTGATAAAGGATAATAATATTTTATCTGCTATTCATGTCACATACTATTTTCCCAGCTTGTAGTTTCTCTTTTCCTTCACAATTCCTTTCAATAAACAGGAGATCTTAGGTTTTTTTTTTTTTTTTTTTTTTAAGATAAAGTCTTGCTGTGTAGTTCAGGCTGGCCTTGAACTCACTATGTAGCCCATGTTAGATTCAAACTCATGGTGCTCCTCCTGCCTCAGCCTCCCGAGTGCTGGGATTACAGTCCCTTAGTTTTAATTTAGTTGCATTATCATTTCTTTTTTCACTCATGCTTTGTCATTTTGAGTTATGTTTTAAAAACTTTTCCTAAAAAAACCCCAAAATAAAAAAACTTCTCCTAATCATGAAGTTATCATGATATTCTCTTGTATTTTTTTCTAATATTTTTGTTTTCTATATTTAATTTTTTAGGAATGATTTAAGTAGGGAATATAATTTTTTTGCTTATAATTGCTTGAGTTTTTCTCTCTAACTGAATACGCAGAAAGTGTTAGGAAAGCCAGGCATGATGGTGCACACCTGTAATCCCAGCACTTGGGAGGCTGAGGCAGGAGGATCACCATGAGTTTGAATCTAACATGGGCTACATAGTGAGTTCAAGGCCAGCCTGAACTATACAGCAAAACCTGGGATCAGTAGTCAATACATACATACTTCTTGACTACTGATCCCAGGTTTTTAGGGCCGAGGATATAGCTCAGTGGCATAAGCACCTACCTGGCAAGTGCAAGGTCCTGAGTTTGATTCCTAGTACCAAAAAAAAAAAAAAAAAAGTAAAAAAAAAAAAAAAAGTGTTAGGAATTTTCTTGGAAGTCCCCTGGAAGCTTCTGACTTTTGCATCTGATGCTTGGGTAATGTTTTTCTGCATCTAGCTGGAGTTAACATACCAGGTTCTGCCTGACGTATTGTACAGTCTGATGGTCTGACATTAACCTGCCCTCCAGCTTTGTCATAAATCTAGCTTCTGGTCACGGATCCTGTCTGCTTCTGTGCAATTCACACAATAGTTTCAAATGTTTTCCTATCTGTTTGGGCAGTGCCCTCCCACCCGCAAGGTCTTTGCTTTTCCACACAGGTAATAAAATCAGCTTGCCAAATCCCATAGAAGGGATTTCTACAGACTCAACTTAGTTTAATTATTTATGATTATTCTTTGCTCTTTTAATATTGACTGGTTGAGATCTTTGTCTTTGCACGCCCATAACACACATTTTAAAAGCATCTTGCTAGGCACAGGCACACTCTTGCAATCTCAGTTACTTGGGAGGCTGAGACAGGAGCACTGCAAATTCAAGCCTAGGCCATGCAACAGCGACTTAGTGAGATCCTGTTTCAAAATAAAAAGGAGAAAAAAATAAATAACTAAAAAGGAGCTGAGAATATAGCTCAGTACAAGGGCCCTGGGCTCACTTTCTAGTAGGGGGGGGGAACCATCTACATATTTTGACCCTCCCTCCCCAAGCAAATAAAATCCAGTTCTTGACCCAATATGTGGAAACAGCTACTTTAATGGGGGATAGAGATAAAGACCAGAATTTGGACGCTGGCCTGCGTGCACGTGCCGGACTGTCCCGTGTGGGTGTTGGTGACAGACATGAACACATTACAGATCCGTGGCAAGAGCTGGGAAAGGTGCTTCTAGAGTCAGGAATTCATAGTGATAGTTCCAATGGACTTGAACTCCACACAATTCTTTGAAAAGTTTACTGTAGCATAAGAGCTTTGATTTTCTCCACAGCTTAATTACTGTAATTGTGTCACTGAACCCAGGTCTGGAGGCTGAGCCTGCAGGAAAACCATGTCTGAGAGAGAAGTGCTGGGGCGGAAGAAAGGCTGTACTTGGCAGAACGGAGAGGAGGGAAGTTCGCTCACAAGGCAGTGCCTCGATTCCAGGGAGCACGGGGGTGGGAATGATGAGGGAGACAGCCAGGCTAATAAAGGGAGGAAAATTCATGCCTTTTCTTGCAATAGGCTGAGATCTTCCAGGAACTATGGTGCTGCTTCTTTTTCCTCCTTTCATATCTGGTGTTCCTGTTTGGTTGTTTGCTTTTTTTTTTTTTTTTTTTTTGTCGTAGTGAGGCAGGGTCTCACTATGCAGTTCAGGCTGGTCTTGAGCTTACTTTGTAGCCCAGGCTGGTATTGAACTCTCAGTGACCCTCCTGCCTCAGCCTCCCTGAGTGCTGGGATTACAGGCATGTGTCACCATGCCTGGCTGTGGTTGTCTGCTTTTAAAATTTAGTTTAGTTTTGTTTTGTTTTGTTTGAGAAAGGGACTTCCTATGTAGTTCACACTGGTCTTGAACTTACCAAGTAACCCCGGCTGGCCTCAAACTCAAAGTGATCCTCCTGCCTCAGCTTCCCAAATTTGGGATTATGGCTCAGCCAAAATTAGTGATTTTTAAGTCAATCAGAAACAAGTAAAACCTGGGCCTGGTGGCATACACTTGTAATCTTAGCTACTCAGCAGGCTGAGGCAGAATTGTAAGCTTGAGACCAGCCTGAGTAACTGAGACCCTGCCTCAAAATAAAGTAACAAAAAGGGCCAATGATGTAGCTCAGTCAGTGCTTACTTAGTACAGAGGGGGCCCAGGGTTCAATTCCCAGTGTTGCAGAGAAAAAAGAGCAAATGAAGCTGGAGGGATTGTTCAGATTTTCTCTTAGCGACAAACGTAATTATAATTTTAATTATAACTCTGACGTGTTTTGTCTATCACATTTTGTTACATTTATGCACACAAAGATCCAGCCAGTGTGGTAGTGCTGCCCATAATTCCAATACCGGGAGGCTGAGGCAGGAGGTTCACTATGAGTTTGAGTCCCGCCTGGGCTACATAGTGAGTTCAAGAGCAACCTGAACTACATAGGAAGATCCTGACTCCAAAAAAAAAAAAAAATTAAATAAAAAATAAAAAGTCCAAGTTTAGCATTCAGTTTCATTACTCAGAGTCTACAGGAATGAATGCATTTGGTCCTCCTGGTGGCAGCTGGCTCTGTGCCCTTCCTGTTCAGGCTGAGTATTGTTGCCAATAGTGTAATTCTCCAGTGGGTCAGAGTGCAATGGGGTTGTATCTACACTTCCCAAGTATTTGCACTCTTTTTTTTTTGGCCTGGCCTTGAACTTGCAGTGATCCTCCTGCCTCAGCCTCCCAAACGCTGAGGTTACAGGTGTGCACCACCACATTCGGCATACTTGCACTCTTGTTTCCCCTTAAGTGAATTCTTACTGTTTGTAGGAAGTGCCACCGCTTCTGCAGCTTCTAACACAGACATGGGGTACCTGAACTAAGGTCTTCATGATCCCCAAATCATGTGATTGTGGATGGCATCCCAGTCTCCAGGTTGTCTTGCTTGGGGACAGCAAGCCAGTCTCAGAGATGCCAACCCCTTGCTGGTGATTAGCTTGGGCGGAACAGGTTTACACGTGTGGTATGTGAGATGTGAAGGAAAACTGTGTAGGGAAAGATCCCTTGATCCTCAGATCCGTCCTCTGGATGTTTGGTGTCCGAAGGTGAGGGCAGGAAGGAGCCCGGGAGTACCCGGAGGGCAGGAAGGCGCCGGACTCTACCTGCCTTGGGGTGGGGCATCCTCAGCTCCTCCTCCCAGCTCTTCTCAAATTGTGCTTTCTGCGGCTTGAGGCCAGGGGTTTCTTACTGTAGATGTATGTGAAGAGCGCCAGCAGTTTTTGTAGCTTTTAATTATGCTACCTGTTTGTGACCTGCGTTTGACTACTGTATGTGCACGTTAAATTTCACTACTGCGTTAGAGCCGTTTCTCTCGCGATATTTAAGTGACAAACAACGTTTCCAGAGTGCTTCTCTTCTTTCCCTTCTCTTCCCTCTCCTCCCCTCTCCTCCCCTTTTCTTTTCTTACTTTTGCGGTGCTGGGGATGGACGCTGGGCTTTTGGCGAGCTAGGCAAGCCACTGAGCTGCTTTCAGATTTAATTAAAAACCAACCACACACGGTGCTCCCCTCACAAACAATCCCGCCCCGGCAAAAAAAAGCCAACAACCCCCGGGCCGCACGTGGACACCTCTGTAACACTTTCCCGCCTCTCCTGGTGACAAGTGTCCCTTGACCGTGACTGTAAGACGCAATTTACTTCAGAAACGCTAGGATGTGAGGAAATTAGTGTGGAAGTGAGGAAGCATTTTCTAATGGGGGGAGATGGACGTTTCTGCTGGTTTGTTTTTCTTCCCCACGGAGGACGGCTTGGCACGCAGAACGGAAAGCAGAGGTGGATGAGGAAGGGATTCTGAGCGGGCGTCGGGGTTGGCGACTTGACTTTAGGAAACCAGGACACGCAGTCTGGGGCTTCTTCTCCAGCCCCGCCCCCGCCGAGGCCCCGCCCCTCCACCTCCAGAGCCCCGCCCCCGCAAGGGCCCCGCCCCTCCACCTCCCGGGCCCCGCCCCGGCCGAGGCCCCGCCCCGTCCTCGCTGCCTCGCGGTGCCTCGGGGCTCCCCCTCCCTCTCTCCGCCCCCTGTGCCCGGACAGGCGGGGTTGCGGGCGGCAGGAGGGGTGCTTGGGGGGCGGGGGTCCCAGTGACGGCATCGGAACGCGCCGTGCTAGGGCGTGGAGCCTGACTGCCCGGCCCGCGCTCGCCCGGGGCAGGTGGGTGTGGACCCCGGCGGGTGGGGGGCGACGGCACGGCCGGGGGCCCGGGGGCACGCTCGCTCCCAATCCGGGCCTGGGCGCGTGGCTCCGGAGTTGGGATCCTGGCCGGCGCGAGGTCACCCCAGCCCTGCTCTCGCTCGGGAAAGCGGCGCCTTCATCCCTGAATGTGCGCCCGGCCTTGCGGGCCTGGCCAGGAGCTGGCGGCGGGGTCCCCGTGACTTCCGCCCCCGGGAGCCCCCGCCCCGGGTGCAGGATAGCGCCGCGGCGTTGTTTGGGCCCTAGGTGGGTGGAGGACCTCAGAAGCGCGAGGCAGAGTTGACGCTCTGAGCCCGGGGCCACCACCCAACAGGGACCTGGTGACTAAAAGAGTGAACAGTGATACGTGCCAAGAGGCTCGATTGTAAATAATACGGTATTTGCAGGGCGTGGTGGCGTAGCCTGGAGTCTCAACCCTCTGGGAGGCTGAGGCAGGAGGATGGCAAATTCGAGCCCAGCTTGCGCAACCTGGCCATTTGGAGACCCTGTCTCAAAAAGAAAAAAAAAAGGGCGGTGGGGTAGGAATGTTACTCAGTGCAAGCACTCTGGCAATCCCCATATCGGAGTCCTGCTGTGTGCGGGACTGGGGGCTGGAAATGGTGTAAGAGGAGGGCGGGTGGGTATAATCCCTTGGATGAAGATAATCCATGGCTCTATATTGGGCGCTGTTGGACCTTGTGCTGGTGAGAGAGAACAAAGAGCGCCTTCCAGCTCCTAGAGTGGAAGATGGAGGGGACAGCGGCTAACCTGGCAATCGCATCGGTGTAGTCGGTTGCTGATGGGGCAGCAGCCCAAGGGACCGTGTGTCCTGGTGGTGGGAACGGAGCCGAGGAGCTTCCCCAGCCCAGGAACAGAGGGATGAGGACTTGGGTAACACCCCGCATTAGACGAGGGGTCCCAGAGGTGCAAAGGAGGTGGGAGTGCCTGTTTTAAAGCTTACCCCCGCACGTTTTTCTGTTAAGGTTTTGAATCCTAAGGGCAGCAAGAAGCCCTTTGTGGAGGGGGTGAGCAGGAGTTTGCACTTGCATTTTTAAAAGATGCCCCTGGCTGCTTTGTTGGAGGGGGTGGAGGGAAGCTGGCCAAAATCTTCCCATCAAGATGTCAGTAGCAAGGTCAGAGCTTGGGGGAAGGACGGGGAGCAGCAGGTGCACTTGGGAGAAGTTTGGGAGAGGGAGGGGCAGGATTTGGTGGTGTTCGGTCTTGAAGGATCTGTTTGCCTGTTAGAAGGTGAGGTGGAGCCAGGTTTGTGGTGACAGGACAGACAAGACAGACTGAGAAACTCAATGGGAGGTAGGGAAAGCAGTTTCTTGGTATGTTGTGGTGCTGTGTGTGTGTGTGTGTGTGTGTGTGTGTGTGTGTGTTCTAGGAGATGAGGTCACAGCGGAAGGTGCAGCAGGAACACAGAAGCCCCCGAGTTCCAAGCAGAGCAGCCAGCGTGTTATTTTGCAGAGATGGGAGCCATGAGCTGTTGTGGTATAACACCACATCATGGTTCTCACAGCCTTCGGGCACCAGGTTGGGCATAGAGGGTTTCTGGGCATTGACTGCCCCCACCCCAATTCCCCAAGGACAGGAGCTGTGTGATGTGGCTCCAGGTCACCTGCAGGGTGAGTCTAGCCCTATGGGACAGGTGCCTATGGCAGACCCTTCCTTCTCTCTGTAGGTCCTGGAGACGTCCTCCGTCAGCATGGGGCTGGAGGCCCAGAGGCCGCCAGGGGCCGAGGAGGCCCCTGTGAAGGTGGCCCTGCGTGTCCGCCCGCTGCTGCCCAAGGAGCTGCTGCATGGCCATCAGAGCTGCCTGCAAGTGGACCCCGAGTGGGGCCGAGTCACCCTGGGGCGGGACCGCCACTTTGGCTTCCATGTGGTGCTGGCGGAGGATGCGGGGCAGGAGGCTGTGTACCAGGCCTGTGTGCAGCCCCTCCTGGAGGCTTTCTTTGAGGGCTTCAATGCCACTGTCTTTGCCTACGGTCAGACGGGCTCCGGGAAGACGTACACCATAGGGGAAGCCAGTGTGGGTGAGTCACCTGGAGTGTGCCCCTGTGCCCACTTGGAGGGGCCTCAGTATTTTCCTAGATTTCTGGCCCTGCTCTCCCTGCTGGAGGTGAGGAGCAAAGATTTCCTGGACAGGATTCCCTGTCCTGGGGTGAAATCAAGCCAAGGGTACTCATCTCTCCGGTCTTAGGAATGGAGTGGTGGGAATGCCCACATCATGAAAAGAGTAGGAGAGGTTGCTTCCAACTCTTGAATTCTATAATTCTGCCTGTCTGTCTTGGAGGATGCCCAGCTCAGGCCGACCCTCCCATCCTGGCTTCTGCCCATTTTCTCCGTGTGGGAGCCCCACCGCCAGCTGCTGGCAGGAGCCGAGGGGTCTTGGGCACATCCAGCTGAAGGCGTGGTGGCAGGAGGCCTGTGATTTCTCCTCAGCCTCCCTGCACGAGGATGAGCAGGGCATCATCCCAAGGGCCATGGCTGAGGCCTTCAAGCTCATCGATGAGAATGACCTGCTAGACTGCCTGGTGCACGTGTCCTACCTGGAAGTGTACAAGGAGGAGTTTCGGGACCTGCTTGAGGTGGGCACCGCCAGCCGGGACATCCAGTTGCGGGAGGACGATCGCGGGAATGTTGGTGAGGAAGCTGGGGTCCCCTGTACACGGGAGTGGGCGGGGCATCTGGCTTGAGGAGGCCTCATCTGCTTGCAGTGGGTGGCTCTTCTGTGAGGGAGCAGCACCTCCCCAGGGAAACCAAGCCCCAGATGGTCTGCTTTTTTCCCCTGCCTTCAGCGTGTTCAGTGTGTGCTTCTGAGAGGCATTCAAATGGGCATGGGGGAAACCAGAGTCCCCAAGCCCAGAATAGAATGGGCAGGACCTCCTGGGCAAGAGGAAGGGCCCCTGGGTCTAGAAAAGCAGGCAAGGCCACCCCTGCTGGGCCAGCCTCCCTGGCTGGTTATGCCAGGCTGCCCCTGCCCTCTGTACCCACAGTGCTGTGTGGGGTGAAGGAGGTGGACGTGGAGGGCCTGGACGAGGTGCTGAGCCTTTTGGAGGTGGGCAACGCCGCGCGGCATACAGGTGCCACGCACCTCAACCGCCTCTCCAGCCGATCCCACACCGTCTTCACGGTGACCCTGGAGCAACGGGGCCGGGCCCCCAGCCGCCTGCCCCGACCAGCTGTGGGCCAGCTGCTTGTCTCTAAGTTCCACTTCGTGGACCTGGCGGGCTCAGAGAGGGTCCTCAAGACAGGCAGCACTGGCGAGCGGCTCAAGGAGAGCATCCAGATCAACAGCAGCCTGCTGGCGCTCAGCAACGTCATCAGCGCTCTGGGGGACCCCCAGCGCCGAGGCAGCCACATCCCCTACCGCGACTCCAAGATCACCAGGTGGCTGGTCCAAGTCTTGCCTAGGGGTGGTGGCTGTTGAGCCTGCCAGTAGGGGTGGGTTTTTCCTGACTTCTGGGGTGTACTGGCTGATGCTGACCCAGGTCTGTGTGCATAGGAAGCCATACCCAGGATGTCCTCTACCCCCAGCCCCGCCAGTGTACTGGGCATTGAAGCCAGACCCTTCCCACTGCTCTACATCTTTAGCCATTTATTATTTATTATTGAGACAAGATCTCAATAATAGCAGTTCAGGCTGGCCTTGAACTCTATGTAGCCCAGGCTGGCCTCGAACTCAGTGATCCTCCTGCCTCAGGCTTTGAGAGTGCTGAGATACTGTTATGGACCACCACATCCAGCACTTTAGGTCTGGCCCTTGGGCCAGGCCTGGTGCTGGGGCCCTGACGCCTCTCCTTCGGGCCCTCAGGATCCTCAAGGACTCACTGGGCGGCAACGCCAAGACGGTGATGATCGCCTGCGTCAGCCCCTCCTCCTCCGACTTTGACGAGACCCTCAACACCCTCAACTACGCCAGCCGCGCGCAGAACATCCGCAACCGCCCCACGGTCAACTGGCGGCCCGAGGCCGAGCGCTCTTCTGAGGAGGCGACGGCCAGGACTCGAGGGCCCCCGCGGCACCGCTCGGAGACGCGAATCATCCACCGCGCTGGGCGCGCCCCGGGCCCCTCCGCCACCTGCTCAGGCGCACGCCTGGGCGCCGAGTGTGCACGCTACCGGGCGCGCACCAGCGCCGCCTACAGCCTCCTGCGCGAGCTGCAGGCCGAGCCTGGGCTGCCAGACGCCGCAGCGCGCAAGGTGCAGGACTGGCTGTGTGCAGTGGAGGGCGAGCGCAGCGCCCTGAGCTCCGCCTCAGGACCCGACAGTGGCATCGAGAGCGCCTCGACCGAGGACCAGGCGGCGCAGGGGCCTGGCGGGCAAAAGGTGGCCGAGGGCCAGGTGTGGGTGGGCCAAGGGAGAGGGTCTTTAGCCATCCAGCTGTGCCTCTGCCTCATGTTCTTTCGCAGAACACACTGGAGATTCAGTCACTTCTGATGGCCTGGTACTGCATCTGTCCTGGGGGTGTTGTCAGGGCCGGAGGGGTAGCAAATGCCTAGCATGATAGTGATATTAATGAAAAGAAGTTAGGAGTGACAGGAGTGGCCCGCGTGGCTTACAGAGAGACTCTCAGGCCAGTGGAGTTGGTCGAGTCTGGAACTGCATCGCAGGAGTGCGTGAAACTGAGAAAGAGGGCAGAGACAGGACCTGGGCGTCCTGGAGCCTTGCATCTCCCCCCACAACACCTGTCTCGATGTTCCCCAGGAAGATGGTGGTGCACTGCAGCTCCTGGCCCTGCAGAGCCAGGTGGCCCGGCTGGAGGAGGAAAACAGAGACTTCCTGGCAGCGTTGGAGGACGCTATGGAGCAGTACAAGCTGCAGGTGGGGCCGGGCTGCTGCAGTGCAGGAGAGCAGAGGACAGATCTGTCAGGTGTCCCAGGATGAGAGCGGGGTCGCTGGTGTGGGGACCTGGGGGTGGTACGTGGAGGGCAGTAGGGAGACGGGGTGCACACCAGGAGCAAGGAACAGGCACTTTGGGTGGCTGTGCCTGTTTCCTTGCTAGGGGGGAGATGGCAACCTGAGGAGCGGGCAGGATGCCACCTTGGGGCTGGGCAACTGCTCAGTGTGCGCCTGGCGCTGTGGGAGGGTGGTGAGGATGTGCCGGCGGGGCAGAGCTGAGCCTAAACTAGTGCAGTGTGTGGGGTCTGGGACAGATGGAGTGACCTGGGGTGCTGGGCTGTCCTCAGGTTTCATCCTGGGGGCCAGGTGCTCCCAGACTCAGGCTTGGTTTCCTGCACTCGCCTACCTGGCCAGCATCCCCGGCATCCCCGTCCCATCAGCACCTGGCTGTGTCTTGCAGAGCGACCGGCTGAGGGAGCAGCAGGAGGAGATGGTGGAGTTGCGGCTGCGGCTGGAGCTGGTGCGGCCTGGCTGGGGGGCCCCGGGGCTCCTGGAGGGCTTGTCTTCTGGGCCGTTTGTGCCAAGGCCTCACACGGCGCCTCTGGGTGGTGTGCGTGCCCATGTGCTAGCCATGGTGCCCTCTGCCTGCCTCCCTGGAGATGAAGGTGGCCCTGAGCAGCAGAGCGAGGTGAGTAGGGGTGAGGCTGGGCGGCTGCTGGGCCCCGTTGGACGGGTCAGGCTCTAGCAGGGTCCTTCACTTGTGTCTCTGTGGCACCAGCTATGAAATAGAAGATGCCTGTTTCAGGTATCTTTAGGAAGGACCACGACGTCAGTGACTGTGGGGTTTCTCAGAAGAATGCAGTGCCTCTGGGCCTTGTGGGGTAGCTGGAGGTTCTGAGTGAGGAGGTGACGGAGGAAGTTCTGACTTCTGGCACCAGATGGGCAGCTAGCAGTCCCTTGGAGATGGAAAGCTGGCCGCCCACGAGACCAGCTGTTCTGTCTTGGTCTCTTGCTCGTAGTTCTGACACTTGGGACCTTTTAGACAAAGTCTGTTCCTGTCCTGACTCACAGTTCTAGGTTATCATAGCTCTAAAGTCTGAGGGGACCTGGGCTGTCTGTCCAGCTCCCTCCACTCTGGCAGGACATTGCTGGTGAGGTAGGACTTGGGTGGGGCTGACCTGTCCACAAGCTAGAAAGTGTAAGTTGATACCTGAGGAGCCAGGGGTGCCAGGAAGGTTGTGTAGGGGAGGGGGCAGAGTGGAGGGGACAGCTGGTGCCCCAGCTGGAGGTTGGGGTGCCTTCCTAATGGCCACTAGAGCTGGATCTCCGAGGGGAGCAGGGCCAGGGGAGGTGGACGTGAGCAGGGTGTGTAGGGCAGGAAGCACCATAGGACAGACTTTGGGTAGAAAGTGACTTGTGGAGGTGCCTGTCCTGAGACCCTGACGCTCCCCTAGCAGGTGACAGATGGCAGGGAGGCTGGAGCTGAGGTGCTGGCTGAGGCGGACAAGCTAGGAAGTGGCTCCTCAGCTGCGTCTGAGGAGGAGGAGGAGGAGGAGGAGGGGGAGCTGCCCAGGCAGACCTTGCACCTGCGGAGGTGAGGGGGCCCTGCTTGAGCTGACGAGGACTGACCTGAGCTGGGCGGGATGGGCACAGCGGTGGGGAGGCCTTGGATGTCAGATGACCTCACTTATGTGACCCTCACCAGCCTTGAGGGAGAGCGGGACAGGGGCTGTGTGTGGACTTCAAACGCAGGGTGTGGTGCCCGTCCCCCAGTTGGCCCTGGTCTCTGTTCTGCCAGACTTAACATGCTGGGGTCACAGTGCCCCGGGGGTCTGAAAGGTGGCCAGGCTGGGGTGGGGCAGGGAGCAGTACACTCCTGCTTCTGCCCTGTAGAAGTGGGATCAGCAACTGTACCTTGAGGGCAGGGGTGCGGCCGGGGAGCCCCCCAGAAACGAAGGGCCCGGAACTCCACCTCGGAGAGCTAGATGCAGCCCTCGGCAGGCCCAGAGGTAAGCCGAGCAAAAGCAGAGGGAGCCCCTCCATTTGCCCCTCCATAATCCTGGGCTGGTGGCCCCTGGTCCCTGCCCCTTGCTTTTGGTTGTGTATGTGTGTGGGGGGTGACCTCGACAGTGTGCCTGTTACAGCAGTTGGTGGAAATAGGGCCCTGACCCAGATCCGCCAGGCCCCCACAGCCACAGCCTCCGAGTGGCGGCTGGCCCAGGCCCAGCTGAAGATCCGGGAGCTGGCCATCAACATCCGCATGAAGGAGGAGCTCATCGGTGAGCTGGTCCGCACAGGTGAGAGTGCTTTCCCACCCGCCGCGTCTCCCAAGCTCTTTAGAGAGGGGCCCACACTGCCCTGTGGAGCAGGGGCAGATGGGCGGGGTGGGAGAGCGGGGTGGGAAGCACATCTCTTCTAGCTGTGTGACTTTGAGCACATAGCATAACCCCTCTGTGCTTCAGCGTTCTCTTGTCTAAAACAGGGATAGTAGCGCACCTACTGCATACGGTATTTGTGAGGGTGAAACACGTTAATTCAGAATAATTCTTAGAAAGCAGTACATGCTATTTATCCAGTGCCCACTGTGCTTTTGGCATCCTGCTGGGCCCAGAACTGGCCCTGAGGAGCACACAGTGCGTGTGACTAAGGAGCCAGTGTCCCCAAATCATGCCATCTCCGCTACTGGTAACATGATCAAAAGACCTGGGGACAATTTTAGGTAGTGACCTTTTGAGCCTCTTTCTTTTTTTTTTTGATACCGAGAATCGAACTCAGGCCTTGCACTTGCCAGGCAGGCACTTAGGGCACTGAGCTATATCCCTGGCCCTGAGCCTCTTTATTTAATAGTTGTGAATTTATTATAGCCACATTGGTTTTTTTTTTTTTTTTTTTTTCCAGTACCAGGAATCAAACTCACGACCTCGCGCTTGCCAGACAGGCGCTGTGCCACTGAGCTAAATCCCCAGCCCCTGTGAATTTATTATAAAATTTGCAAATTCTCTCTTTTTATCCATATCAAACAAATGGCTAAGAAGAGGGACACTTCGCAGTGACCAGAACTTCCCACGCTTGTTCCCTCCTCCCTTTGTTCCTTGCTAATGTATTTTGAAGCAAATCCCAGCTCTCAGGTCCTTTCATCTCTACCTCCCTAACACTGTGGGTGTTGTTCTCAGCACACCTAACAACTTTTTCCTTTTTTTGCTGTGCTGGGGATGTGGGACCCAGGGCCTCGTACATGCCAGACAAATGCTCCCCACCGAATACTTGGGTCACCTTCTTGCCCCGTGCACAAGCTCAGATGCTGGGCTCCTCGACATGTCCTGCAGCTGGTTTGTGTGGTGTGCTGGGTGTACTGCTCCTCGGGGCTCTGCAGTCCCCTCCTCGCGCCTCCTCACAGTCGCCTGCTGTGCCAGACCCCATGTCTTGCGTTTGCCTCTTTGTGTTCTCACGCTGTCACGTAACTTGTTCTGTTCTGCTAACGTTCTCCTGTGCAAGCAGGAGTTAGCTCTAGATGCTTAATTATACGCAGGTTCAATTCTGTGTATATCTGGTGTGTATCAGGTTAACTGGGCACGGTGCTATTGGTGGGGAGGCTGGTAACACCCAGGTATTCGTGGCTAACAGGCCCTTGGGGGGACCTGCTGGGCCAAGGCTGTGGGGGTCCCCTGGGGAGAGGGGCCGCCTGTGCCTCTGTGGCCCTTGTGTCTTCCAGGGAAGGCGGCCCAGGCCCTGAACCGCCAGCATAGCCAGCGCATCCGGGAGCTGGAGCAGGAGGCAGAGCGGGTGCGGGCTGAGCTAAGTGAGGGCCAGAGGCAGCTGCGGGAGCTGGAGGGCAGGGAGCCCCAGGATGCCGGCGAGCGGTCCCGGCTCCAGGAGTTTCGCAAGAGGGTGGCTGCGGCCCAGAGCCAGGTGCAGGTCTGTGTAGGGGCCTCAGGAGGGGTGGGTGGCTGTGGCCTCCCAGTCAGGGTCCCTGGGACCAAGACAGGTGGTCTTGGGCTCCAAGCCACTATGGAGCCTGCGCATGCTCAGCCATTGTTCCCTGGCCCCCAGCAGTGGTGCCAACTCCCTCCTGACCTCCCAGCTCGGTCAAGTTCCTTAACTGCTCTGTGCCTCAGTTTCTTAATCTGCATGCTAGGATAATGACACTTTTTCAGTCCTGTGAGGATGCTTTAATGTACACAGGGTACTGGAGATGACATAGTATTAAGATTTTGTTGTATTACTGTTTTTTGTTGTTTTTTGAGACAGTCTCACTATGTAGTTCAGGCTGGTCTTGAACTCACTATGTAACTCATTGACCTTGAACTCAAGGCAATCCTCCTCCCTCAACCTCCCGAGTGGTGGGATTACAGGCGTGTGCCGCCATGCCCACTTTGTATTAGCCTATCATCTACTCGTCCTCTCCTTCCACATGTCCCTCTGTCCATCCATCCACTGTTGGTCTCGCCCCTCCTTGGGAATGCCAGGCACTGTTTTGGGCTTATAGCAGCACCATGCGTGGCCCAGCAGAGACTGTGTGGCTCCCAGGTGCTGAAGGAGAAGAAGCAGGCCACGGAGCGGCTGGCCTCGCTGTCAGCACAGAGTGAGAAACGGCTGCAGGAGCTGGAGAGGAACGTGCAGCTCATGCGGCAGCAGCAGGGCCAGCTGCAGAGGCGGCTGCGTGAGGAGACAGAGCAGAAGCGGCGGCTAGAGACGGAGATGCACAAACGGCAGCACCGTGTCAAGGTCAGGCTCTGGGTCAAGGTTGGGTGTCAAGGTCAGGCTCCAGCTGGAGTCACCTCTGTCCTGTCCATGAGGCTGAGCCCAGGTGGCCAGGGACCCGGGTGTGCACTGCCCTGCTCCTGCCATGCACAGCCAGGGACCTTGGGAAGTGACGTGCGTAGCTGAGTGCTTTTCCCTGGGAAAAGGGGAGCAGACGGCAGCTCAGGGTTGGGGAGACTCAGTGAGATGGGTACATGGATGATTGCATAATGGGGTCCAGACTGTGCTGGTCCTAGAGAGCCCGGGACACTCACAGGGCAGTTGCAGCATCATTCTGAGTGGGCTGCAGAAAGATATGGCACCCTGGACGGCCCTGTCCCTGGGTCTCATCCACACCTCGCCTTTCCCCACCAGGAGCTGGAGCTGAAGCATGAGCGGCAGCAGAAGATCCTGAAGATCAAGACAGAGGAGATCGCGGCCTTCCAGAGGAAGCGGCGCAGCGGCAGCAATGGCGCCGTGGTCAGCCTGGAGCAGCAGCAGGTGGGTGGGCCGAGGACCCAGGGATCCCCGAGTCTCCACCTGGGACCTCGGTGGCAGCCCTCCAGTGAGAGGGGGAACTGAGGCCCCTCTGCGGCTCCCCACTGCCCTGCAGAAGATCGAGGAGCAGAAGAAGTGGCTGGACCAGGAGATGGAGAAGGTACTGCAGCAGCGGCGGGCGCTGGAGGAGCTGGGGGAGGAGCTGCATAAGCGGGAGGCCATCCTGGCCAAGAAGGAGGCCCTGATGCAGGAGAAGACGGGGCTGGAGAGCAAGCGCCTGCGGTCCAGCCAGGTGAGGCCCTGCCGGGTGCGGTCTCTGCAGTGAGGTCCCTTCAGGTGATAACCCTGCCAGCCGAGCCTCTGCCAGGAGATGTATCGCACACAGGTGAGGTTCTTCTAGGTGATGTCCCGGCCAGGGGAGTTCTAGACAGATGAGGAACCTGTAGATCAGCGGTGGCAAACCTGTGGCATGTGTGCTGCAGCAGGCTGTTTGTAACATTGAAAGATCTAAAAGGTTTCACCATCACTGCTCTAGGTCATGTCCTTGCCAGGTGAGTTCCAGACAGGTGAAACTCTGTGCCACCAGGCCATATCCCATGGATCCTGAAAAATTCTAAGCTGGGCGTGGTGGTGCACACCTGTAATCCCAGCACTCAGGAGGCTGAGGCAGCAGGATCTCTGCAATTTCAAGGCCAGCCTGGACTGCATAGTGAAACCCTGTCTCAAAAAGACCAAAAAAAAAAAGAATTCTAGGGCTTTGGGTGGTTAACAAAGGTAGTGAGGTGTGGGGCATCCTACAACTTATTTTGCACCATGAGACACCTACGCATACACAGGGCCTGAGCAGGCAGCACGGGGAGGAACAGGTTTGGGAAGTGGTATGGGCAGCTAGCAAGAGACTTTGCCAGCTTTGGAGTCGGGCGGGCAGGCCTGGGCCTGGCTCCACCTGGCGTTCTTACTCCCTCTCGAACGGGAGGCTCAGCCTCTGAGCCTGTTTTCTCCTTGGGCTTGTGGGAGCCGGATGTTGCCACGAGGACTGGAAGGAATATGTTTAAACCAGACCCAAGCCTGGTCCAGTCCAGGTGCCTGCAGGGCTGCAGGTGCGCAGAGACCAGGGCACCTGGCCTCAGAGTGCTCTGAAGTCCAGGAGGAGCGGGGTGCTGCTGGGCTTTGATAACTTCTCCTGGCCATTAGCACCTCTCTTTCTCCCGTGTCAGCTCCTGTCAGGGCTTCTGGGTTTGACCACAGATTTCCAGTGGTCCCATCACACACCATCTGGTTATGTCAGTGACAACTGCCCCCCCGCCAGCTGTGTCCTTGCCCCTGTTGTCCCTTTTTGCCTTCGGGGCCTCTTCTGCTTGTCTGTGTCTTCCTCTGGGCCTTCTCTGAGGGCCTCTACCAGATGCTCTGGTCCCTGAGCTGTGAGCTGAGCCCTGCCTCCTGCAGGGTGAGCGGTGCATTGTGGGCTTCTCCAGAGAGGGACTCTCGTTCCCCCCAGCGTACAGTGAGGAGCTTGGGCCCTTTCTGTCCCCTCTTTGAGGATGGTGCCTGCTCCTTCCCTAACTCCTGATGGTGCTGCCCCAGGCCCTGAATGAGGACATTGTGCGAGTGTCCAGCCGGCTGGAGCACTTGGAGAAGGAGCTGTCCGAGAAGAGTGGGCAGCTTCGGCAGGGCAGTGCCCAGAACCAGCAGCAGATCCGAGGGGAGATCGACACCCTGCGCCAGGAGAAGGATTCACTGCTGAAGCAGCGCCTGGAGATTGACAGCAAGCTGAGGCAGGGCAGCCTTCTGTCGCCCGAGGTATGTTCAGGTGGCGCCTCTGTTCCTGTCGTCCGTCCATCCATCTGCTCTCTCAGCCCCCACCCTGGCTCCCGGGGTGCTGGCCTTGCTGCTTTGGACACAGGTTTCCTCCGTGCAGGAGGCCCTGTGGTGGGGCTGGCCTGCCCTGCTGCCCCTGCCTCCACCACCTCAACTGGGACACACCCCGGCTTTGCTGAACTCTAGGCTCCCTTCCGGCTGGAACCTGGGCTCCTGCCATACCCTGTGCTGCGTTAGACCACATGCTTGTGCCTCTCAACTCCGTGCTTGGGGCTGAGTATCGGGAGTGAGCTTAACATCCCTGCCGGCCACACATGCACACTTCCCCTGAGCAGAGAGCCAGCCCTAGTGGCGGCATAAACTTACCGGGCTGTGACCAAAGTGTCCGTTTTGCTGCCACAGTGAGCAGGGGCATGTTCTCTTCATGCTCAGGATGAGGGGACGCTGCAGGCTGCTTGTTGACTGTCGCATGTCTGCCCAAGACTGTGCATTAGGAAGCCGATGCTGCTCTGCCACATGTGTCCATGTCCCTGTCCCTGCAGGAGGAGCGGACACTGTTCCAGTTGGATGAGGCCATCGAGGCCCTGGACGCTGCCATCGAGTACAAGAACGAGGCCATCACGTGCCGCCAGCGGGTGCTGCGAGCCTCAGCCTCCCTGCTGTCCCAGTGTGAGATGAACCTCATGGCCAAGCTCAGCTACCTGTCGTCTTCAGAGACCAGAGCCCTGCTCTGCAAGTACTTCGACAAGGTGGGTTGGCACACACCTTGCCTCTGCCCTCTGAGGCTCTGCTGAGGCAAGTGTTTTCCTCCCAGAAGGGCATTTCAGAGCCACCTTAGTCTGTCCTGCCTGGCTCACCTCTCTGAAGCAGATGCTACATCAGACCCAGTCTCTTCCTGTTTCAGCCTGGGTGCCATCTCCAGGGTGGCCCTTGCCCACAGCACTGGGTCTCTGGCGGTGATTCTGCCCCCAGGAGCATGTGGAGAGCCACTTCTGGTTGTGACCATGGTAGGGGTAGAGGCCAGGGGTTCCATTAAACATCCTTCAGCACACAGCACAGGCACCATAACCAAATCACCTGGCCCCAAATGCCCATCCTGCCAAGGTTGAGAACTCCTGCCTGAGGTCCAGCGTCCCAGCCTGAGGCTCTGCCCAGAAGCGCAGCATGTGTCTGGGCAGGGTGTGCAGCAGGGATGACAAAGGTGCCCTCTTCAGGGCCAGCTCTGGTCATTTGGAACCCACTGCCTAGAGCGCTGTGGAAAAGGCATCCGAGGCGAGAGAGGCCCCAGTGACTTCTTGTGATGCCAGCTTGGCCCATGCTTGCTTCTCCAGCTGAGGGTTCCGGGGCAGTTTGGGGTGGCAGGCTGAGCCCACTGGCCTCGGCACAGGTGGTGACGCTCCGGGAAGAGCAGCACCAGCAGCAGATCGCCTTCTCGGAGCTGGAGATGCAGCTGGAGGAGCAGCAGAGGCTGGTGTACTGGCTGGAGGTGGCCCTCGAGCGGCAGCGCCTGGAGATGGACCGCCAGCTGACGCGGCAGCAGAAGGAGCACGAACAGAGCGTGCAGCTGCTCCTCCAGCAGGGCCGTGGTGAGCGCCGGGCTGGCTGGGCAGGGCTGCTGCCGCCCACCTGCCTGCAGCCACTCACCACCCTCCTGCCTGTCCATGCCAGACCACCTGGGCGAGGGGTTCACAGACAGCAGGCGGCAATATGAGGCCCGGATCCAGGCTCTGGAGAAGGAACTGGGCCGCCACATGTGGCTGAACCAGGAGCTGAAGCAGAGGCTGAGCATGGGGAGTGCCACAGGCCCGAGCAGGGGTAATGCTGCCTTCGCCACCCAGGCCTGCCCTGCTGCCAGGTCGAGGGGATGCCAGGGTTTGGAGGGGCACTTAGGAACCACCCTGACTTGTTCGTTTCCTGAGCTGCTTATTGGCATTGGGAAGCTAGACTTTGGGACAGTGCTGCCACCTCTGTTTCTGACAAGGACATGCTATTCTTGGTGACAGGTGGGGAAAGGAGGAGCCTCGGCCTGGAGAACAGGCAGGGCCCTGGACATGACGAGGGGCTGCAGCCCACTGCGCCAGAGCTTCCGTGGCAGCCCCTGCTCCCCGACGGTGTTCCCCGAGCCCGGGAGGAGATGCGAGACTTGGTCCATGCCCCGTTACCGCTGACGTGGAAGCGCTCCAGCCTGTGTGGGGAGGAGCAGTGCTCCCCTGAGGAGCCAAGGCCGCGAGAGGCAGCTGAGTGCCTGGTAGGGCGGGTGTTGCCCGTGGGTGAGGCTGGCCTGTCCTGGAACTTTGGACCCCTGGCCAAGCCGCGGTGGGAGCCACGAAGGGCCAGCCCGGGGATGATCGATGTCCGGAAAAACCCCCTGTAGGCTGGTGGTGCAGGTCCTGCCTCAGAGGGCGATTCTTGTTCTGGTGACAGGTGCGGGGTTTCATTCTCTGAAGGAGCCCTTGCCTCACACCCAAAGCCGGGTCCTCATGAATACACCCATTGGCATCAACTAATTTGGATCACAGCCTCAGAGGACTTATTTTTTTCTGCAGTGTTGGGGAGTAAAACCAGGCCCTTGTGCGTGCTAAGCATGTGCTCTACCTGAGCTACACCCCAGCCCTCATTTTTAAAAAATATGCAAGCTCCTACCACCCGCTTCCTTTAGGCTGCAGGATCTGATTGCCAGCTTTCAGCTTGCTCAAATTTCAGGACAATTCTGATTTCAAGACTTAGCCATGGGCTTGAAGTTCCCTTAAGAAGGTCAGCAGCAATGGGACTGTGGTTTAAATGGTCTCCTGTAGATCGGGGAGTTAGGGGATTTATTAGCACGTTTTTTTGAATTTTTAAGTCATTTCATAATAAACAGGAAAAGTCTCCTTATAGTTTGCCTCTTAAATGTCTTAAATGTGTTGAAGGCTTGGCCCCCTGCTGGCGACCTTTAGGAGGTGGTTGTGCTGCTGAAAGGGAGACTAGGACCCCAGCTCCTTCTCTGTCCCTTTGCTTCCAAGTCCCAAAACAGAGACAGCTCACCATGGACTGAAACTGAGCTAAAATAGACCTTTTCCTTCTTCTAAGTTATTTCAGGTATTTGTCACAGCAACAGAAAGCCACCATAGAAAACTGTACTAGAAGTGCAGTCATGTTACCAAATCTGCAGTTTCTTTTCTTTGATAACTGCAAATAGTTGTAGGGGCAGGCAGGACAATGAGTGGAGGAGGAGTTTCCACTCTAAAGACACTTTCTCCCCAGGCAGGTCTGGGTTATAGGGGGAATGTGATATGTGTTGTCATCAGAGCTTTTCACAGCAAGGGGAGACTTTAGGAACCAGGGTGCTGTCCTTCTCTTCCCTAATTAGGGCATGGTTAGGTCTGTCCTGGTGCTGGTGGGTGTTTATGAGCCCAAAGTGGGCTGGAGCGTCAGCTTGGCGCCAGACCAGGTGGCGTTAGCCCGGAGCGCCCCCTGCGGTAAGCAGGAGGATGTAGAACTTGTGGATGGCTGATGGGAGCCTGGGATTATCAGCTGGGGTTAGAAATTCTGGGTCAGTCTGGTGACAGTTGCTGTGACTATACATGACAGTGTGATTCAACAGCCTTTGGAAGTGGCTTGCAATTTAGAAAAGTTTAGAAAGCCAGGCTAAAGAAAGGCTCGAACAGTGTGAGCAGAAGTTAATGGGCAATTCTGGTGGGTGCTGACCCGTGCAGGAAGGAGTTGGGTGGGGGAGGCTGTGCTGGTGAGGTTTCTGGTGGAAACAAGGACACTATTGAGAGCTACACTGGAGGCCATGATGTAACTTCCCCCAAGAACTTGTCTAGGTTCTGTCCAGGTCCTCAGACTCTTTTGGGAGGCCGAGCTGAAAGGCTATGGGCCAATAACCCTAGCGGAGGGACTGGGTATTTAGCTCAGTGGCACAGCGCCTGCCTGGCAAGTGCAAGGTTGTGAGTTTGATTCCTGGTACCGAAGAAAAACAACCCTAGTGGAGATTTCAGGGCAGCACAGCTTCAGGCGGTATATTGCCGGCTGCTTTTAGCCAGATTGACAGTGAGAATAAGGAGTGGGAAGATCGGAAAAACGGTGTGGTCAGAAAAGGAGCATAGTTCAAGCTGCAGCCAATGAGTACATAATTGCTAGAAATTAGTGCTATTGAACCCCCTCCCCTGAAAAACCAAGTAGGCAGGTGGCCTGTGAAGTTAGTAGTGGGCTTTTTTTTTTCCCAGTGCTTGCAGTGATCCTCCTGCCTTAACCTCCCAAGTGCTGAGATTACAGGCGTGCACCACCACACCCAGCCTGTTAATTCTTACAGGGGTCTGTCTGCAGGATAGCTGAGTCTGCCCAAGTCTCAGGGAGGACTTCGGAGTTGGACTCTTGAGCAGTGTTACAGATGGACTGAATGGCTTTTTTTTTTTTTTTTGGGGTACCGGGAATTGAACTCAGGACCTTGCACTTGCCAGGCAGGTGCTTGTGCCACTGAGCTATATGCCCAGCCCTGAATGGTTTTGCATTGGAGATGGACACAGGGGCCAAGGGGGATCTTGAATGGCTGCTCAGATGCTCATGTTGAGGCTGGGTCCCCAGGTCATGGTTCTGTGGGGGGTGGTGTGGCCCATGGAAATGTGAGGTCACTAGGGGTGGGGCCTTTAAGGGACACTGGGACCCTGCCCCCCTGTAAGGATCCCTTGGGTTCCTGCTGTACCCGGGAAGGAACAGCAGTGAGGAGGAAAAGATAGACAAGAGACAAAAAGCTGGGATCAGGTGGAAGTCCTCTCTCCTGAGTGGAGAGGGGGATTATCAAAGAACAGTAGAGCGTTTATTCATACCCGAGAGGCTGATACTAATTTCAGCCTCTCTGCCCAGCAGTGTGAACAAGTTGCACTGGCTTGTTTACATGCTTCGAGCAGCTCCCATGCTCTCGGGCTGGCTTCCTCCTGCACACGGGACTACTTTCCAGCCTCAGCGGCTCCCAACAGCACACCCCCTGCAGGTGCCACGATGTGCTGTTTTACTCTACCAGGGGATCCCCACCATGGGGGAACCTCAGAACAGGCCCCAGAACAGTGCAGTCACTGACCACGAGTTGCAGCCTCCAAAACTGTTAGCACAAATCAAGCTCTTAGAAGTGACACAGGCATCTGTCATGGCAGCGGGGGGCTCACACACCTCCGTAGGGAGTTGGGAGTTTTCACTTGGAATCTGATTATAAGCCAGTAGGAAGAATCCGATCTGGGACCACAAAAGGCTTGAGGCCTTTGAGACCATAAGGCCTGGCTGCTGCGTGGAGGGCCGCTACCGGGTGGTGCCAAGTGATGGTCTCCCTAGGAACAGGGCGGCCTGTGGCATAAGCTGGCTGGTCTCAGGGCAGACTTGAGAACGTGGCTGCTCTGGAAACTGCTAGAGCTGGACCAGTCACAGTAACCTTAGGAGGAAACATTAAACAGAAAAGCACCGAAGGCCAGGCAGCCGGAAATGATTTCACGGTCACGCAGGGTACGCGCACGTTTACTCTGTTGCCTGCCAGTTTTGTGCACAGGGCTTCACGGTTTACAGAGTACTTGTGTCTCACATCCCAGCCTCACAGCAGCTTCTCCAGGGACCCCTTGAGGGGCTCCTTCCCCATTTTCACAAGTGAGGCAGTGGCCTCCTGACTGGTCGTTTGGGGAATTGCTGGAATGGGATCCCACCTTACCCAGATCCTTGCCTAGTTTCCCGACTGCGGGGCCACCTGATTCACAGCAGCCGCTGCACTGCTACCTAACTCCCCTCCCCAGCCAGGCAGGGGCAGGGCCTTGGGCGGGTTACAGAGCGAGGTGCTGGGGTGATGGGCGAGTCCCGAAGAGGAACCGGAAGACTGAGAGGCATTCTCGTGGGAACTGCACGCTGACCATGGCAAAAGGCTTGGGGTCAGGTCTCTGATTCCTTTGAGCCCATGGTGACCAGGCTGACTTCAGCTTCACTTTCTGAAGGGTCTCAGGCCCCTTTGGTGCCAGTTACCCCTGTCCCGGGGCCCTGCTGGGAAGCCTGGGTGGTACAAGTGGGGAACAGCTGCCGCTCTCACAGTGCCTCTGCCCAGCCTGGCAGTGCCGGTGGCTCTCAGTCCTCCGGCAGGTCCCGGCCTAACTAGCTAATGAGCTTCTTCCGTGTGTACGTCCTGCTGAAGGGGCGCCTCCGGGAGATGGCCGGGCTGAAAGTGGATGCTTCTGCAGCGGAGGGAAAGACATCTGCATTCTCATCTAGAAAAAGGCAGAGAAGTGACTGAAGACTGAACAGGACACTGGCTTCGGGAGCTCACACAGAGAGGGCCTTAGGACACATCATAGGGCTGACTTTTCCATCCTGCAGAAGCATACACTTCACTTCCTACAGGGTCCCCTTTCATGGTTCTGCACAGGGTCGGCGGCACGAAGCCACTGTGGAAATGTGGGTACCTGCAGGCTTGCATCTGAGGGCTTTATGCTACTTTGCATGACTTACATCTCTGTCTCAAAGCGACCCTGAGGAGGGGGCATCTTCCGGTAGATGCTGATTCTGACCGTCAGCGCTTTAGCACCCTGAGTATGCAGGAGGCATGGGCATAAATCTGCTAGCAGGCATGGCAGGCTCTGGGCACACCTGTCGGGCCACCAGCGCTTTCCTGTTCAGATTCTGAGACTACCGATGAGCAGCGTGTCCCAGCGGGCCCTGTCACCATCTTCAAGAAGACTCAAGTGCCGCAGCAGGATTTTAGGGGGGTTCTGTGGGTGTACACAGGTTCTACTGTGGAACTGCCCTGGGAAGGGACTGACACTAGGCACAAACTGTCTACCCCATCCTTGGCATCCCCGTGGTTCCCCTAAAACCGAGGTTCCCTAGCTCTGGAGAGGCATCTGGGGATCTCTGTGGCGCTTACCTGTGGGGTTCAGGCACTCAGAGGACGCTGCCTTCCCGGGGAGCAGTAGCGGAGACTGGGTGAGAGCCTGCAGCCCGCTGGCTGAGAGGCAGCTCCGCAGAGCACAGCCAGGAGGTGGGGTGCAGCCTAGGGAGAGGCCAGGCGTCAGCGTACCTGTCAGTGCACCCCACGGGCCCCAGCAGGTCGAGTCCCAGCCCCCCGCTCCAAATGCCTCCTCGCTGAGGCTGCCCGACAGAAACCACATGCTGCGCGGGTTCCAAACACAAACTCACCAGAAGCGAACACCTCGTCGTCTCCGGTGGAGGGCAGCTGCGGCACGGTCCACCCTGAGGCCCCCTTTTCGTGCTTCCTCATGTCTGCATCTTCCCTTGGGGCCTCACAGACTCTTTTGGCTCCACACTCTGCTTCTTCCTTGGGAGACCAATGTCTCTTCCTGGAACCCAACCCGAACTGTCCCCACGAGAAGGCTTCCTCAGCCTTGGGGACACTGTCCCCAGGCGGGGACTGGTCTGGGAGCTGACATACCCCCTCAAGCTCAAAGTCCTCCGAGATGGGAGTCTTGTGGAGGCTGAGTTTAAGGGCCTGCTCCCGGGCCTGGGGCTCAGGCAGTGGCAAGGCCCCGAGAGGGTCCCCGCCCACCTCACCCCGCCCGGAGGGGTGCCCGTTGCTGCAGTCCACTGCTCTCTTCCTCCGGGGCCAGTCTTTGATGGAGTCGGGAGTGGTCTTGCCATTGTGCTTGGGGGATGGTGTCCAGGGAACCCCAACATCTGTCTGAAACGGAGAGGGGGTGCTGGGTGGGCAGTGGGTTGGGGTGCAGGACTGGCAGATGTAGGTCTGCCCCTTGCCAGGTGTGCTGTGCAAGAAGTGGAGGCAAGGGGGTGACACGTAGGTAGCCTCGGGCTTGCTGGTGGCCCTGCTGGCCCGGGGCATGCTGAGACCAGGGAGGGAGGCCTCTTCTCCCACAGGGCTCCCCTCCTTTCCTGGGACCTCAGCTTCAGTCAGTGTATTGGAGTCCACCTTCTTAATCCGAAGCTTGGGCAGGCCGGAGGCCCGCATCTCCAGCTCTACCTCGTAGGTCTGAGAGCTGGCAGGGGCGTTCAGAGGCCTCACCGGAACCCTCAGGCTCTCCGGCCGTGCCATAGCCTGACACTGCCCTCCAGGGCAGTGCAGGGCACAGGACTCCATCTTGGGAGAGCCAGGTCCAGAGCAAGGAGCAGGTGGGGAAGTCCTGGTGTTGGGCACAGAGGGTGGCTTCCAGGCATGGTCTGCTGTCCTTAGTCCCGTACCTTCACCCCCTCTCACTGCGTGGCTCCCACCACCCTGGGATTCGGCCTCCTCGAGCACAGTGAGGTAATCTGTGTCACTTCCAACAAGCAGAGGAGAGGATCCGGGCCAGTCACTGCTGGCACCAGCCCCTAGGTGCCTCTGTCCTTCAGGACAGGATGGTGGAGAGGGGCTTCCTTCCTCCTGGTCCTTTCTGGAACCGGTGGTGCTAGCTGGGCTGGTGACTGTGGCAACCCCAAGTGCAGCAGCGGGCCCCGGGGGACACTCCAGAGAGCCTTGTTTCGGGTCTGAGGCCCTTCTATTCCATCTCCCAAGTTTAGATGGTGGCGGAGGGGGGTTGGTGACAGATGCAACGCCCCGTGGTGGTACAGTCGTAGGGGAAACTGAGGGAGCAGCACAGGAGGGAGATGTGGCCCTGCTAGGTGACGCCTGGTGCTCTTTCTGATCCAGGTCTCTAAGGCCAGGGGACACTGTCGAAGGCCTCCTAAGTGGGCTCTTGGAAACACCCCACTTCTCTGGAGGACGCAGTGGGGAGGAAGTCACAGTTATGTCCCCAGGTCTCTCGGGGGTTTGCACAGCTTTATCTTTCAGTATCTGTGCTGGTTCTTCTGCCTGAGAGACTTCAGGGAGGAGGAGCTGCTGGTACTTTTGACCCTGAGGTGGGCCCAGGAGGGCTGCTGCCCTCGGCGGTGTCCTGAGGCAGTGCCTGACGGGGGTCACACACTTACTCCAGGGCTGGGCAGCTGAGGGAGTGGGGGATGCCGGACGGGAGGGGTTTTCTGGACTGGAATTCACTAGATGTGGCCATGCAGAGTTTAGCATGAAGCCAGGTGGCTGAGCACCCGGTCTGGTGGGCGTTCTTGGGGTCCCTGTGGCAAGAGCAGAGGCCCCCTCTGCTGGGGAGGGTCCTTCCTGTGGTGTGGCTCTTGATGCCGAGGGTGAGCAGCAGCTAGGGGACGAGGGGTCCTGTAGGGCCTTCTCGGCCAGGGCGGGCTCTGCGGGGGGCACCTCTGCAGCGGGGTGCAGTGGCCCTTCTGGAGTGTGTGGCGGAATCTGCGGTGTTCTTGGGAACCCTCTTGGTATTGTCTTAGGAAAGGTCGGAGATTTCTGGTAACTCTTCTTAGGAGTCTGTAAAGAAAACTGATCATTTCAGTGCTTGAAATACTGTCACTTATATTTTCTAAAAAGTGTCTTCATGGCTCTAAGAGGACTAGAAAAGCACACAGGATATTTAAAATCAGCTACAGGATTTTTCTTGCACATGGAAATTTTACAGAGGATCCTCTGCAGAACTCGACTCAGATCTTACTTGTCCACTTTTTATAGGGCTACGCACTGTATCCAATCTTTGTTTGAACAAAAATTTTCATAATTAGCACACTACAGCTCACCATGCCTTGCCTCTAAATGTTCCACTCCAGCACTCACAGGTACCCGCCGGCTCGCCCCCCTCCTCAAACAGCACAGCCGCTGCTCACCTTTGCCGAAAGCAGCCCCCAGCTCCATTCAGCCTGTGTGTGCTGCACACCTACTCTGTGTAGGTACTATGGGGTGGCCGCAGCTGCAACACTGCCCACCAAAATACCCTTCCTTCTCACAAACGACATAGGCAAATCCCCACAGGTCGAGCACCCATCTCTTCTACAGCCTTAGTGGATCACCCCAAGGGAATCACTCTGGCGGCATCTCGTGTTCAGTGGGGTAGAGACAGGTGAGACCAGGGCGGCCCGCGCAGTGACAGGGCAGGCAGGGGCTGGGGCTGGGGAGGAAGTGCTAGTGAGTCAGGTGTTCAGGAAGGGCTATCAGCAGGGGAAGGAGAGACTGGGAGAGTGGGCAGAGGGGGCTTTAGGCACAGAACGCAGTACCAGCAGAGGCACGGATGTGGAAAGCAGCAGCTGTGTGCGGGATGTTACTCGGCCTGCGGTTGCCGGGCAGGGGTGCCAGGCAGGGAGGGCTGAGGCCAGCCAGGCGGGCAGGGGGCAGATCATGGGGGGCCCTGCCTGCCCAGGGCATGAGACTGACCCTGGTCATGTAATCTGTGAGATCCAAAGCTTTCCCCAGAGCTGTGTGGGCTCCTAACCAGGACACAGTTTAAACGGATTTCCAAACAAAAATGACTTTTTTAACACAAGGGTTCCATTTTATGAACCTTTAGAAACTTGGCTTTAGCAGATAAGAAGTTTACAGAGCCTTAAGCAAAGCAAAATCAGGTGAGTATTTTTCAGAAAGATTTGGGAGAGGGGGAAAAAGGCTTGAAATGGTCCAGGTGGAGCTAAGTGAGGGGAGGAGTTGTGGGGATGCAAGAGAAAGGTGGGCACCCGAGCTAATGTGTCGTAGCGAGGCAGGCCTGGAGTGAAGAGCCATGCCCCAGGCGGGGGAGGGCAAGGGCACCTGACACAGGTGCCAGACAGAGGGGCTGTCACATGCAGGACGACTGCCTGGCGTGCACTGCAGAGAGACATACATGTAGTGCCTAACACAGTGGAAGTCAGAGCAGCATCCCTGTGTCCTCCCCACCACCACGGCCACGCTTAAGTTCCACGTGCCCAATAACCACTTACGTGGCTAAACCCAACCACCCCAAATCTCTATGATCTACAGTCACCTGGGTTGTTTGGCCACCTCCGTTCCCTGCGACTACCCCTTCTAATCACTTTAGAAACTATCTACCTGGTAAGCTGCAGGTGTCTCAGAGCTCAGCTTGCTTCTTGACAGTCTTTTGATTCGGGCCGAACCCTTCTCTGAGGGGCTGACCATCTCAGGCACTGTCCCAAAAAGAAGGCTCCTGGGAGACCGAATACTTTGGATTGGAGAATTTTCTCTTTGATCTGCAAGTCAAAGAGAGCAACAACACTTAATTATTTCTTAACCCTCGTCCTCTCAACACATATGAAAAATAGCCAGTCTGTGTAAAAAAGACTATTTTTAGAGGGAAAATTATTAGGTGGGGGAATATTTCTAATTATGTCAGGCAATGTACAATGCCGTACAATTATGTACGGCAATGGTTGCTGCCTTCTTAAATTTTAAATAAGACTACAAATTAACCCCAGGTCCTATGTTAGGAAATGTGGGCAACTGAAGTAATTTGTAAGTATAAACATAAAAACACCTATCTGTTAGCCACACTAATCATGGATAAAAGAACAACAACATACAAACAAGTGTGACCTTTTGTCCTGGGATATTTGTGCGGAGCGTCTGGCTATATGGTGGGAATCGTGGTTAACTTCCCGTTTAAAGAATGCACTACTTATAACAATAGTGTGGACAGCCAGTTGTAGGAATCAAAGGGATGACTGATTACAGAGGCCACGGACTGTTCACCTGGTCACTGCCTTGACCTCCACGGTACACAGGTTCTCCCTTTCCAGTTACGGAGGAAAATGTCAGACTGCAAACACACTTCCCACCAAGTCAGTGTGCACTTGGGAAGAGAGATGGGCCTCGTTACCTGACTTGTTTTGCTGGAATGAATGGACTCTCTGCACGCTTCGAGACTTTGGCTGAGACACAGAATAGAAGGAACCAGAGTTTGTTCTGCTAAATGATAACTGCTTGATTCGAGGACTTCGTCTCAAACTTATTTCTGCAAAATAAGAACCACTTAGTAACCAGGGAGAATTATAATCTTGACATCTTCTCATGTTGTCAAAAACAGGCAAAACTTATGTAATACCCCACGCATCATGGAAATCTGACAGCAGCTTTGACATTTCTGAAATGTCCCTTTAAAAGCTAAGAGGGTGTTAGGTGTGGTGGCACAGCATTCTGAGAATTGAGGCAGAAGGATCCCAAGTTTGATCCCTGGGCAACTTGCTGAGATCCTATCTCAAAATAAGAAAAGGAGGCTGAGGACATAGCTCAGCAGCACAGCGCCTGCCTGGCAAGGGCAAGGTCCTGAGTTTGATCCCTGGTACCAAAAGAAAAAGAGAAAAGGGCTGGGGATGTAGCTAAGTTCAAACCAGGGATGAGACCTGGGTCCGATCCTTACCACTGAGGAAGGGAGAAGAATTTAAAAAAAAAAAAAGCAAAGCTAAGAGGGGTTTGACACGTGGTTCCAAGAGGGTATTAAAAACTCACTGAGCCAAGAGACTATGACCTGCAGGAGTCTCACAATCTGCCACCTTTATGTATCACCTAGGGTGAAAAAAAGGTATATGCTATGTCATGCATAAAGGTGGCAGATTGCGAAGACTCCTGAAGGTCACAGTCTACCTAGGTTTCATATGTGCACAATATATGTATTTGTATAGAAGCAGTACTGGTAAGATTATATGCTAACTGTTAAAACAGTATTTCTGAGTAGTGAAATTATCAGGTAATTAAAAAAATTTTTGTATACTTTGTAATTTTTCTTCAACAAATATGAATTACTTGAGCAATTAAATAAAGAAGTTTTTGAAAACCCTCTTGTCATGTACTTATAGAGAAAATTTTTGTTTTTTGAGACAGAAGTCTTCCTGGCCTCAAACTTACTATAGAGCCCCAGGCTGGCTTTAAACTTGAAATCTTCCTGCCTTAGTCTTCCAAGTGCCCGGAAAACAGGTGCATGACACCATACCTGGCTCTGTCACATACTTTTAAAATAAGCCACAGCATTTCGTATAACATGGTAGTTTAACCCTCACACTGGGCATTTTTATTATGTAAAAATATTTCTTCCCCAATAATTCTCTTCATAAATTCTATATAAAAGAACATTTGTGTATAGTGACAGAGCGTCACCATGGACCTGGAGTCATCAGAACTTCTGCAAAGCGAGCACACGCAGAGTGACCGTACAAGGGCAGAGCGGCTCCCTAGAAGCCAGGCACAAGTGAAAACAACACAGTAGCTAATACTCACCACCTTCTCCTTTCTCAGGGGACTCTTCAACCACACTGATGTCAGGACCAGGATCAGAGGACCTTGAGGAACAACCAGTAAAAGGATTCGCTGTCACTCAACAGCAACACACATCAAAGCAGAGACAGTTTCTCATCTAACAAGGCAACAACACCACAGTCTAATAATATTAGCATCGGTAAGCTTTCTCATACATTATTATTATGTATTTTTTTATTTTTATTTTTTTATTTTTTTGGTTTTTCTCCGGTACCAGGAACCGAACTCACGACCTCGCGCTTGCCAGGCAGGCGCTTTGCTGCTGAGCTAAATCCCCAGCCCCGTATTTGTTTATTTTTGAGGTACATTTTCACTACATAGTTCAGACTGGCCTTGAACTCACTATGTAGCCCCGGCTGGGTTCAGACTCAGCATCCTCTTGCCTCAGCTTCCCCAGTGCTAGGATTACAGGCGTGTGGTACCATGCCCAGCTTATTATTACTTATTTAGATTTTGGTGCTGAGGACTGAACCCAGGGCTTGTGCAGCCCCATATATAATTACTATTAAGGGTGAGATGGTCAGAATGCTTCTATCAGAAAACAATTTTACAACTTCAAAAATAACTTTACATTAATACTTTTACTTCCATAATGTATTAAAAATTAAACACGTAAGTTTTTAACAGCTTTAATTTTTGGCAGTTTGGCAAAGACTTCTGACCTGCCAACTTCACTTCTGACAATTTAGCCTGTAAATTTTCCTAAGTGTGGGGCTGGGGATATAGCTTAGTGGCACAGCGCCTGCCTGGCAAGTGTAAGGTCCTCCGTTTGATTCCTGGTACCAAAAAAAAAAATTTTCTTTAGGTGTGTAAAATTTATATATAGATGATGCCAGAGGGAGCTGTGACAAGATGAAGTTGAGACACCTTTCCCTATCCCCTGTGTGCTCTGTGAAAAGCAAGCAGAAGGAGGCAGCCTGGCTCAGACCTTGCAACCTGAAGGAGGCAGCCTGGCTCAGACCTTGCAACCCAAGGAGATACAGGCAGTGGGCCTCTCTGCATTTTCTTTCTGTGGCCAGCAGCATCCCCAGCTTTACCCTGGCGAAGCTGACAACACGAATGTGCCACAGGTACAGACTAAAAACATCCCAGGAAAGCCAGCTCTCCAAGGCCAAAGAACCAGGGGCAGCCAATTACAACCAAACATTTGCAACAGCAAATCCCTGCTCCAACCAGCATCCCAGGGGGTGCCGGGGGACACACAGCCCCATCCACACCTCTGCGAGCAAAGGACAAGCTGGGATGCTAAACTCCAGCCTTGCCTAACAGGTCTGAGGACACACCTTTCCCCATGTCAGTAGGGGCATGAGTTTAAAAACTGGGAAATCCATTTAGTGGAATAACACTCAGCAATAAAAAAGGTCAAATTACTGATACAAGCAACATGTATAAATCTCAAAATAATTATGCCAAGTGAAAAAGGTTGGATGAGAACACATTCTGCATGGTTCTCCTGCCTTCAGAGTTCAGGGAATGTTCTGTGGTTATAAGCATCATGGCTAAGATTTAAGTCATGAGGTCAAAGGAAGGCACACAGTGGCCCAGAGAGTGTGAAGGTGCTGGACCCAGGAAGAAAAAGTCACTCACCTGCCCTTGATTTGTCTGTGAAGGAGCCTCCTGGAGATCTGCTTATGGACTGGAGTCTCAGCCACACTTTTAGTCAGCAGCTTGTGATAACCTAAAATTTTATAAAAACAGCTTCAACTGTACATTTCATTTAACCTTCTCCAGTAGTATTATAACCTAGTGGGAGGTCTCTTAATCGTTGAGCCAAGTACAAGTACCATGCTCATAGGACTTAAGGTGGAAAACTTTTTGGCACTATCAAAGATTCAATGATGGCATAAGCCAATGCAAAGTGTTACAAATTTATGTCTCTAATAAGCACCCTGAAAAAAAGAAAACTACTTATTTGTTACTTGGCTTTGGTATTGAAGATTAAATGAAATCAAATCTATAGAAGGGATGACGAGCCATGCCAGTGTTATTAAGATAAATCTACCTGGCACAGTATTTCCGATTGGGTAGCTGAGCTATAATTCATGGCAGGATGCGTCAGAGTGAGTTAAACGACCAGAAAGGCAAGTGAGGTCAGCAGGGATGGTGGAGTGAGGACCTCCGAGAAAAGGAACGACCTCCACGAAAGGAACAAAAACACCACGCAAACATGGAAAATCAGCCTTTTCAGGACTCCACAGATTAGCTACACAATCTAGGACATATTTGTTCAAGAAAAGTAGCTGGATCTTAGTAAGTACAGCGAGCTTTGCAGAACTATAAGCCTCCCCAGCCCAGTGGTCACTGAAATCCAGCAGCCTCAGGATGTGACAGAACGGCCCAGAGCTCCTCCCAGGTCCCGCTCCAGGTAACTGGCATCACTTCATCTGCCTGGCAGTTCCCTGGGAAATCCCGCTCCCAAGGCTCGGCGCTAGCTGACCTGACTCAGAGCTCATCCAGTGCAAACCACCTTTTCCCCGGGAGCATTTACTGCAGTCGTAAACATCAGAGCTCATCCAGTGCAAACCACCTTTTCCCCGGGAGCATTTACTGCAGTCGTAAACATCAGAGCTGCCTGAAGTGGTGATAACATATGGGAAAGAAGTTTTATACCTAACAACTCTTCAGAAATGAAGAGGGAAGTAGCATATTCCCACCTTAAAACCAAACAGAACAGAGTTTGTCACTAGCAAACCTGCCCTGTGAGAAAACACTAAGGGAGCCCAGAAGGCTGACAGGAAAGGGTGTCAGCATAGCTGGAGCCACACGCAAAATTAAAGAGCACTGGTAAAGCAGCTACATAAGTATAAAAGACAGTGTTTTTTGTGCACAACTTTTTATGCCCTCAGATTTAAAACAAACCCCAGGCACTGGAATTACTAGTCAGAAATATTAAATTGGCTTTTCTAAATATGTTCCAAGAACTTATGAAACCAAGGAAAAAGAATTTTTAAAAATCAGGAAAATAATGTCTGAACAAAATGAGCATATTAGTAATACATTACAACTATAAAAGGGCTGGGTGTGGTGGCATATGCCTGTAATCTCAGCACTTGGAAGCTGAGGCAAGAGGATCATTGTGAGTTCGAGGTTAGCCTGAACTATGTAGCAAGACCCTGTCTCAAAAAAGAACTATAAAAAGGAACCAAACAGAAATTCTGGAGCTAAAAAGTACAATGACTGTTTTGTTTTCAAGATCTGGAGATCAAGCCCAGGTCTTTCCACATGCTAAGCACACATTCTATCACTGAGCTACAACCTGAACCCCAAAAGTACCATACAGTAACTGAAACAAAAATTCACTAGAAGCCTCAGGAGGCTGAGGCAGGAGGAACTTTGCAAGTTTGAGACCAGCCTGGGTTACAAAGTGAGTTCAAGGTCAGCCTGAACTGCACAGCAAGACCCTCTCAAAAAGACCAAAAAAAAAAAAATCCACTAGAGAAGTTCAGTCCCAAATTTGAACAGACAGAAGAATCAGTGAACTCGAACATAAGGTAATCAGTAATTATGCAATCTGAGCAAAAGGAAAAAGTAACGGAGAAAAAGGAACAAACCCCAAGGGACATGTGGACCCCATCAAGCATACGGCTGTACACAGCATGGGAGGCCCAAGAGACACAAAGTGACAGAAAAATTTTTTGAAGAAATGGTTGAAAACCTCCTAAATCTGATGAAAGACATTACTCTACACATCAAAGAAGTTAAATGAGTTCCAAGCCATATAATTTAAAGAGGTCCACAGACAAGCATTATAGTCAAATTATCAAAGCCCAAAGATGAAGGGAGAATTTTGAAAGCAACAGAAGGCAGTGGATAAAGAAAAGGAAAAAGGTACTCAATAAGAATTATATACCCTTCAAGAATAAAATAGAAGCCAGGCATGGTGGTACATGCCTGTAATCCCAGGACTTGTGGGGCTGAGGCAGGAGGATTGCTGCAAGTTTGAGACCAGCCTGGACTACAAAGTGAGTTCAAGGCCAGCCTGAACTGCATAGTGAAACCCTGTCTCAAAAAGACCAAAAAAAAAAAAAAAAAAAGAAATTAAAACATTCTCACATCAAGGAAAGCTGAAGGAGTGCACTGGCAGCAGACCTGCACTTGGAGGAAGGGTAAGGGGAGTGCTTCACATTCTACTGCGAGGAAGTTAGACAGCCAGGAAGAGAAGTAAAGTAACTCACAGGGTGATACAGAAGCCAGGAGTGTTATGGCACTTTTGATTGCAACTCCTCTTTTTTCCATGATTTAAAAGGCAAAAACATGAAGCAGTAATTCTAAATCTCTATTATGGCCACAAAATATTTAAGGATTAACCTATGACATAACAACGTAAAAAGGAAGGGGCTGGGGATTTAGCTCAGCGGCACAGCACTTGCCTGGCAAGCATGAGGTCGTGAGTTCAATTCCTGGTACCAGAAAAAAAAAAAACAAGAAAAAAAAAATGTAAAAAGGAGAGGGGAAGAAATATATAGTAACAAAATGTTTGGGTACTACTGAAACTCATTTGGTTTTATCTGAATTAGATTGTTTTAAGTTTAAGATGTTAATTGTGACCTCCAATCACTAAGACAGTTACTACAAAATATACAAAAAAGGAAATCAAAATGGCACCCTACAAAAAATTAGGCAAAAATAACATGAAGGGTAGTAGTGGAGGAACTAAGGAACAAAAAGCCACAAAATATATAGAAAGCAAATATAAAAATGGTACAAGTGATTCCTTACCAATATCTACATTAAATTATAAATGGCTTAAATACTGCAATGAGAAAGCAAAAACTGATGAAAGGATTAAGAAAACACGATCCACGTATTAAATTGAAGTGGTGATAACATATGGGAAAGAAATTTTATACCTAACAACTATTCAGAAATGAAGACAGCAGTATATGCTGTCCACTGGAGACTCAATTTAGATACAAAAGCACAGAGGCTGGGGCCAGGGATATAGTTCAGCAGCACAGTGCCTGCCTGGCAAGTGCAAAGTCCTGAGTATGATTCCTGGTACCAAAAAACAAAACAGAACAATAAAAAAAAACCCCACAGAGGTTAAAAGTAAAAACAGCAAAAGATATGTTATGCAAGAACTGGATGGCTACATTATTGTCAGACAAGACAGACTTTAAGCCAAAAAAAAAAAAGATTATAAGAGACAAAAAGGTCACATGTTAATAAAAAGTTCAATTCATCAGGATATAACAATTATAAACATACACACACACCTAACAATGCAATTCTAAAATATATAAAGGAAAAACTGGCAGAACTGAAGGGATAAATAGACAATTTGATCATCACAGTTGGAGACTTTAATATTATACTTTCAGCAATTAAACAGAAGATCAACAAGTAAACAGATGACTTGAACAACACGATAACGTAACTAGATGTATATCCAACACCTCACCCAACAAGACCAGAACATATATTCTCAAGCACAGATGGAACACTCTCTAGGACAGACCACGTATTAGGCCATTAAAGTAAATCTCAATACATTTCTTTCCCTATAGTGTCACAGTAGGAACAAACTCAGGGTCTGGTGCATGCTAGGCAAGCGCTCTACTGATAAACTGCACCCCTAGCCTAAATCTCTGTCTCTGTCTCTGTCTCTCTCTCCCTCTCTGTCTCTCTCTCTATCTATAAGAAAGATAAAAAAGAAATAAAAACAATACAGAGTTTCAAAGTAGGATAATAAGAAATTAACAATGGTTAATGTATTGCATATTGTTGTCTTCAAAATAGTTGGTCAGATTACAAGATGTAGGCATGCAAAATTAATCAACCAATATAAGTACAAACTGATCTTTCCAATGGACTAAAAGAAATTAGTAGTATAATTATGTTAGCTAATATATATATATTTATATACATACACACACTCTAAGTCTCAGTTTAAAAAGACTGAAGTCATATCATACACTTCAATGCCATTGGACTGAAACTAGAAATCAATAGAAGGAATTTGGGAAACTCACGAATATAGAGACATTAACAGACTTATAAATAACCAATAGGTCAAAAAAGAAATCACCAGGGATTAGAAAATAGTTTGAGATGATGACCACGAAAACACAGCATCCCCAAACTTACAGGCTACAGCTACAGCACTGCTCAGAGGGGAGCTTACAGCTGTAAATTGTAAATCATTAACGTGTCACCCTCACCAAAACAATAGAAAGAAGGAAATAAATAAAGGTGAGATTAGAAAAGCAGTAGAGAAAAGCTCAAATTCCTTAAAAGATCAATAAAAGTGATGAAACTTTTCCATAGCTAGACTGACCAAGAAAAAAAAGGGAAGACTAAATCAGGAATCAAAGAGGGGATGCCAGCACAGGAAAGCTGTCACGACAAAACGGCTCTCTTCTTGGTTACCCCGAAATGTAGTACTTTTGGTCTTCTTGATGTTGTCACATTTCCGGTCCAGATCTTCCAAGGCAGACACAGAATGACTTCTAGGCAGGCCCCGCTTCAGCGATCTCTTTGAAGGAGAAATCATTTCCTGGTTGAAGAGATTTCTTCGAACTTTGGTCACTTCTGACATGAAGTAGGGCGTAGGGGGAAAAAGAAAAGGTCAAATATTATATTCAGTAAAACAGAGGCACTCTTATCCAGCCACAGAAACTGCTTAAACAAACTACAGCTGATTGCTGTACAGTGCATTCACATTTGCTAAAAAGATTTCCTCTCAACCCTGTAACTGGGAGGCTTAAGTAGGAGGCTCACAAGTTCCAGCCTGGGCAACTTAGTGAGATCCTGTCACAAAATAAATTAATTAAAAAAAGGGCTATGAATGTAGCTCATTATGAAAACTTTGGGCTCAACCTCCAATATCTTAAAAAAAAAACCAAAAAACAGAACAAAAACAACAAAACCTTAGATAGTATACTGCCACGGTGCCTGAACACTATTTACTCCTATAACTTTTGAAAGTCTTTGAATATGACTGTGTGCAAGGTAGGGATCCAATTCATTCTTCTGCATGTGGATAACCAGCCCTTGCAGCATTACTTCATCAAGACTACTCATTCCGTAATAAACTGTCTTTGTACCTGCTTGAGTAATCAGTTGACCGTAACAAATGCTACAGTGTTAATTCTTTTATAAATATTACATAGAACTTGGCAGTGAGGCCATCTAGTCTTGGACATTTCTTCATGGGAAATTTTTGGCAACTAAATCTATTTTTTTTTTTTTTTTGGTATGGGGATTGAACTCAGGACCCTTGTGCTTGCCAGGTAGGCACTGTGCCTCTGAGCTATATCCCCTGACACCTCTCTTTTATTGTTTTATTTTTATTTTTTGTCTTTATGAGACAGGGTCTCACTATGCAGTTCAGGTTGGCCTTGAGCTCACTTTGTAGCCCAGGCTGGTCTCGAACTCACAACGATCCTCCTGCCTCAGCCTCTGGAGTACTGGGATTACAGGTGTGTGCCACCACGCCCGGCCCATGTTTATACTTGTAAGGAGTCATTCTATTTCTTTTGAAGTCTGTTTTCAGTAGTTTGTGTCATTCTAGGAATTTGTCCACTTAATCTAGTTTAGCAATTTATTGATATACACTTGTTCATAATTATTTACTCTATTACAAATTCATTTTCAATCCAGTATTTAGGAGCACAAGGCAGGCTTGTATCTTTTGTTGAGCTAGAAGTTTTATTCATAAAATGGAACATAATTCTTAAGTAAGTGGATGGCTAACATAGTCATGGTCTTATTAATATATTCTAATATTATTATTTTTCTCATTTTTTACTGTATTATTTTCACCTCAGCTTTGAAAAACTGTTCTCTTCTTTTTGAGGTACTGGTGGTTGAACCTGAGGCCTTGGCACTAAGCTACATCTGTATCCCTTTCCTTACATTTTATTTTGAGACAGGATCTTGCTACATTAAGTTTCCTATACTGGGCTTGAATTTGCGATCCTCCTGCCTCAGCCTCCCAGAATGGTAGGATGATAGGCGTGTGCCACCATTCCTACGAGAGAAACCGTTCTTTTCAATTCCACTGATTTCATTCTTCTGTCTGCTTTACGAATCTGGGTAATTCTAAATTCTCTTCCCGACTCCACAGCATAAGTTTTCACCAACTAGACTCAAAGTGAGGGAAAAACCACAGCAAAGCAGATCAATTCTTAACACAGCTAGCAAGACGGCACCTTACCTGTAAGCAAAACAGCCTGGTGCAAGTGACTTTAAAATTCACCTGGCATGAATTTACATAAATAAAGCCACATGAGGATTCCACAAATGGAACATGCTTTGTGTTTAGCCATCAAAAATAAACACTGAAGTTGAGGACACTGATAACATAAACCAAAGTTTGAAAAGATGTTTCTCTACCCCATTCACTGTAAGAGTCCCTACTACCTGACTTATGCTGTCCATGAAATTCATGTATGAGAGCCGGAAAGCCTCATTTGATGTTAGTTTTTATTTTTCAGTTTTAAAAATTTATCATCGATGGAAAATTTGCAAGACTACACTAATCCTATATATCACTAAAATTTACTGCTGACATTTGTCTCTTGCCTCCAGTTCCCTCTACTGTAGTTTCCCTGACCCTGGGGGGTGAGTGGTGGCCTGTACGATTCTTTGCCCACTTGTCAGCATGACCTCCAAAGAAGGAGAACATTCTCCTACACAACCGCGATGTCATTATCACACTCTCAGTACGTTTCCAGCATGCAGCCCTTCCTCTGATTTCTGTCTCAATAACGTAGTGTTTTTCCTTTTTAAATTTAAGATCCAAGCAGGGCTCATGGAATGCATTTAGGGTCTTGCTTCAACTCCTTTCATCCAAAGCAGCCCCCCTGCTTCTCTTTTCTCTTTCTCTCTCTTTGACTTTCATGAAAATTGGTATTTTTAAGGATTTCTGGCCAGCAGTTTTGTAGAATGCAGCATTTTTGAGGCCATGCGAGTATTTAATTCCACTGAGGCATGGAATTTGGACATATTTTAATAATCGACAATCATATAAAGCCATAATTTAAAATTGTATGCAGCTGCCTAAATATATGAACTCAAAATAAATTTGTCCTTCAGGGAATCAGTGCAAACCCTGGGAAAACAAAGCATACCTTGTGCTGTACCTTTCGCTGGGAGTGCAGGCTGCTGAGGGGCAGGGTGAAGGCTCTCCTGAAAAATAAGGAAGTGTTGTAAGAATATTAGTGTAAGCATTCATCTAAAATAAAAGAGGAAATTCCACGTGAAATCCTTTGGTCTTTGCAGTTCACTTAGAGATCCACAGTAGGAACAGTAAAATGTACATAGGGAGATGTTCTAAAGGCACTCCTGCTGTACTGTAGTGATACAAAATAGGAAACACCATCAATGCCCATAGAGTGAGACAGTTAATTATACACCTATCCAATGCAGGCATCAAAAGGATAAAGATAGAAGACTTACATACACTAACATAGAAAGAGATCTGTGATGGAGGGACAGTTAAAAAAGGCAGATACTAAGTATGGGAGATTAAATCACTTTACTCTTTATGTGTACATGGGTATATTACTGAGAAATATAAACCTTTGATGATTGTTTTTGGTACATACAGAACAGTGCCTGGGGCTATATACAACAAATAACTGGTGATTATTTTTGAAGAATGGACAGAGAAGGGATTTTTTTGTGTGTCTTTTTGAGAGAGGGTCTCACTATGCAATTCAGGCTGGACTTGAGGTCACTTTGTAGCCCAGGCTGGTCTCAAACTCACGATGATCCTCCTGCCTCAGCATCCCAAGCACTGGGATTACAGGCGTGCACCACCATGCCAGGCTATGGTACTGACTTTGACATGAAAAAACTTCTTGTTTTTTTCGTTTTGGAGACAGGGTCTTGGCTCTTATAGCTCAGGCTAGCTTCAAACTCTCTATTATGTGCCCAGTCTGGCCTCTAACTCTTAATCCTTTTGCCTCAGCCTCCTTGGTGCTGGATTACCGGAATGAGCCACCATAACCAGCAAAAAAGTTCTTTATTAACCAAACCAAATCCTGATCTTGGTATATCTGTACTTAAAGACTTTAAGTTCTCCTCCCTTTTCTTCCCCCTGTGCCCAGCGCTGGGGATCCAACAGTAGGTCTCATTCGCACAAGGCAAGCTCTGCATCACTGAGCTACATCCCCAGCACAGAAGTTCAAGTCCCTATGTCTAGTGCCACAGAGAAACTAGTTACCTTTCTGCCCATTGTCCTCTATTTTTTCTTTTTAAACTTGTTATTGAAGTAAAATAGCATACATTCTGAAAAGTACTTTTTAAGGAGGCAACCAAAGTCCTACTGTAATAGTAGATGGTTACTATATTAATTTTTCTCCTCTACTTTTACCTGTAGCAGACTCTTAGGCAAAATGGTTAAACTCTTAACAAATGTACACACATTCATAAAAATATTTAACATCAGCTGAACGTTTCTAATCCAAAATCTGAAATCTAAACTGGCTAAAATCCAAATTTTAAAAACTTTCAACACTATATACAAATAGTCTAGAGTCCAAAAAATCCTCTGAAATCTGAAATACTTGTGGTCTCAGACATTTCAGATAAGGGATACTCAACTTGTACTGTTTCTGTATCCATTTCAGTATCCATTTTCTAAAAGTGAGAGATTACCTTTCATTCTCTGTTTTGTTTTCTTGAGACAGGGTCTCACTGTGTAATGCAGGCTGACCTTAAACTTGCTTATGTAGCCCAGGCTGGCCTAAAAACCCATGGTGATCCTCTGGGATTACCGGTGTGCACCATCACGCCCAGTTTGCCTTTCATTCTTATTAATAACGTCAACTCAAGCTGGAAGGACCAGCCTGGGCTGGTGTCATTTCATATTTATTGGAGAATTACTCACGCTTTTTGTAGTTCTCTTGGATACTTGGGGAATTTCAATTTGTCGAAGATTCTGTGAAACCTCTGCAAGGCTTTTATGTCTTACTAATGCATTTTTCCTTTCAAAAATAGAAAGAAACTAGTCAAGACACACCAGAGAGAAGCGACATATAGTTAAAATTAAACCTTATTGAAATAAAAGTCAGTTGTCTTGATATTGGCCCGGATTTATATCAAAACAAGTCAACACTAGAATTTCCCAAGATAACTACTAGAAATTCAACTAGTTAATAGCAATGAAAAGCATCAAGGAAAACTGGAAAATCTTAAGCTTATTTCATAAACACCTACTAGTTCCTAGAGACCCCATGTGGACTGTAAAGAAGGGCTTTATGAACTACAAAATAAGGACTGCGTATTTCCTAGGTAACGGAGTGTCAGATGCTACCCGGCAGGAACTCGGGATAGTTGACTTCCATGATTCAGACTTAAGGGAGACCATTAATTCAGTTACACAGACAAAGATAATGGATTATGTTTAAATGCACCCTTTGTCTGAACTGTATGACTAACAGTGCAGGTGATGCCTTCACGCCCTGGGTGCTCACCTCTTCTTGGCTGATTTGGTTCGGAGCTCCTCCAGCTGGTCAGCTTCGGTGCTGCCTGACATTGATCTATGAGCACTTGACGGAAGAGGCACAGAAAGTGGGGATTTACTCTCTTGTGTCATGGAGTCATCACTGAAAAAGTCTGGAGGAAGGACGCCAGCCAGCTTCGGAGGAATCTCGAGCCCAAGGCTGTTGTAAAGCTTCCCCAGTGTCTCTGGGATGGAGTCAGTGTACCTGTGGAGAAGACTGGTTAGGTATGGACCAGTTACCATCTCACCCCTGTTCCTCTTCACCCAGCATGGGAAATGGTCCTCAGTCCCATAACTCCAGACACAACATGTGTGGTTCTTGGTAAGATAGCTTTAAAGGAAGTAGCCACCAGACTTACAATTTCAAAATCTCTTCCAGAAAATGTGGTACGTATGCCGAATCCTCAGTTCGACACACTATGCGCAGCAAAGCTGTGATCTGAAGGAGATTTTAGAAAATTACCATGTATCCTCTGCTGTGCCACTGAAAACACTGGGGTCCATTCCCAGCAGCACTAAGATATGTACTTACCTCGTCCACTACTTGCTCCATCTCATCTGGGTTTTCTAGTATGGAAGGGCACTGCAGACACATCTCCAGATGAAGAAACACCTGAAGCTGGCACCTTGAAAGAAAAACACTCAGTCATGTCTATGTTAACTGCCCATTAAGTAAAAACTCCCTTTGGCACAGATCTATTTATATAAGAAATAGTAACCAATAAGAAGAGTCATTGCTTTCTCTAAATATTGATGTGCTTGTTAGGTAAATAAGTGACATGTCAGAACATCATAGAGAATCAGTTAAGAAGCATCTCCAAGTAACTGGCAATCTTAGATTCCAACAAATGTTGGAGCTTTGTTCTAGAGTAAAATTTTAAAATTAAGTAAGTGGGAGGAAGTTACTCACTCTCTCACTGCATCTTCCTTATCCAGTTTTTTTCCTAGATTCTGTCGGAGACTTTTGCTAGTTTTTAAGAGGCCACTTTTTATATGATTCAGGCAGTTCACCTAAAAATATAAATTATTACATAGCAGGATACCGAAGTTTCTTATCATTATTTCAATTTCTTTCATAGCTGACTAATGCCCAAGAAGGGAAATATATTTCCTTACAAATTTCTCCTTTTCCTTCATTTCAATGAAAAATAGTGAAATAAATATTCTTCTTTAATATCACTAAAAAGAACATGGTAAAAAAGGATCTGTGAGCAAGTGGACACAGACAGGACACCTGCAGGCTGAAATGTCTTAAAAGGTTCCATGAAATGCTGATGGAAAACTGTAAGTTTTATAGACCATTTCTGTTCACTTTAGAAGGAGCCCAGCTTTTACCAATAAACATAAACAAAAATAATGAAAACATGGTCTACAAGCATGTTTGCAGCACTGCCAGGCACCTTATCTAGGGAGTTTTAAATATTACAGACGACCAGGTCCCAACCCTAGGCGTTAAAAAAAGTTCTAGGTGACTGCAAAAGGCAATGAGGGTTAGAAGCCAATGACTTGATTTGTGCAACTACCATGCAGTTCAAATGAGGGCAGAACTTCCATTAGGTGAGACACATGTCGTTTCCCCCAACACCCTTTTCTTTGTTTCTACCTTACCAGTCCTGTTTGGCAAATGGACAGCACAAGAGACATTTCCTAAGACATGTGAACAAAGCCACCACCCACCCACCAACCAACCCACCACTGCGTCTATTAACAGCTGGACTTTCTTACTTCCACTTCCTTGGTGCCCTTTGACTTTAGGAACACTTTAATAGTTGAGATCATGTTCCGAGCACATGAATGTAACGGGATTTCCGCTGTGGCCACAGTCTTTTGGTAATTTTCATGTATGTAGGAGAGCAGCTCCTCCTCAGTTTTAAAATCTGTGGGAAAAAAAAACTAAAATTAATGATCACATCCAAGTTCCTATGTCATTTAAGGCAATGGTTGTCAGCTGGGGGAAGAGCTCGCCTCCTGGGATACCTGACTAGGCACTGCTGTGGCAGATTACTGCTCTCTAGGATTCCAACAACATCACACTATGGGAAAGAAAACATGATGGTGACAATAGAAAGCAGCTGGCAGGGATTAGGGAGCAAGGAAGGTGACTAATTGGATCACAAATGACTTCTGATTTCTCATGTGTCCCATTTCTAAGTCAGGAACATTTTTTTCTTTTTTTTGTTTAGTACTGGGAATTGAACTCACGACCTTGCACTTCCCAAGCAGGTGCTGTGCCACTGAGCTATATTCCCAGCCCCCGTGCTCCATTTTTATATGTTAGAATATGCAATATTCTCACTAAGTTTTTTCTGCTTCGATGTACATATCTGTAACTGAGATGACTGCATTAGCCTTCTACCATTTAGATTTGTCAAAATTCCCTTGTGGTTCTGCCAATTTTTTGCATCATATATTTCAAGCCTTTGTTATTAGGTTCATACGAATTCAGAATTGTTCATCTTCTTGTGATTATGTCTTTTGTTAATGAGCAATGCATTTATTTATTCCTAATGACTTTATACCTTAAAGTTTATGTTGCTTATATTAAAAAAGGTGAAAGATTTATACAATCTGAAAAGAAACCAGAGTATGTTGCTTATATTAATAGGTATACCTACTTTAAAAAATCCAATCTGATCATTTCTTTTAAATAAGCTTACAATTGTTATGAATATTGTTAAGTTATATGTATATTTATGTGTGAATATATGTATATGGATACATATATTTTTTAAAGGCAGTTTCTTACTACATATTCAGGCTGGCCTTGAACTTGTGGCAGTCCTCCTTCCTCAGCCTCCAAGTGCCGGAATATCAAGCATGCACTACCAACCCTGATCCAGCCCTAATTATTAATTCATTAATTTTATTTATGAGAGAATTTCACTAAGTTGCTCAGGCTGGGCTGGAACTTGTGATCCTTTTACTTCAGTCTCCAGGAGGGCAGATTACAGAAAAAAAAAAATCTTTTTAGTAAATTCAACATAGTGATCAGTCTACAGTTTGCTTAAGCAACTTCTCTTGGTAAGAGTTCCTCTGTTTTATTGACTATTTACCTCTTGTTTTTTTCCCTACCCCTACTCCATGTTTTCAGAAGTAACTGAAGTTTAAAGAAATCTGTCAGGAATGTTGTTGGCATTTTGACTGAGATTGCATTAAATCTATCTGTAAGTTTTGGGAATATGGTCATTTTGTCACTGTTGGTCTGCCTATCCAACAACAAGGGATACCTTTCCATTTTTCCTCTCTGATCTCCTTTTTCAGAGTATGGTAGTTTTCACTGTAGATGCCTTTCACTTCCTTGGTTAATTCCCATGTATTTAATTTTTGTTGATATTGTTGTGAATGGCATTGTTTTCTAATTTCTTTCTTGGTGGGTTCACTAACAAACATACGGACCAATAGAACAGAACAGAAGACATACATACAACCCCACACATATTCAGTCACCTGATCTTTGAAAAAGGGGCCAAAAACATACACTGAAGGAAAAGATAGCCTGTTTAACAAATGGTGCTGGGAAAACTGGCTATCTGCACTAGAAGATCGAAGCCAGACCCACCATCTCTCACCATGTACTAAATTAAAATAAAAATGGCTCAAAGATTCAAATATTAAAACAGAAACACTTTACCTGCTAGGAGATGAGACATAAGCAAGTACTTTCTGAATAGAACCTCAATTGTGTGCGTGCGCACGTGTGCGCACCCACACACACACCCCATCAAAAATCAACAAATGGGAACATATCAAATTAAAAGGTTTCTGCACAGCAAAGGAAACTACCAACAGAGTAAAGAGACAATGTACAGAATGACAAAAAATGGGCAACTGAAATGAATAGAAACGTCTCAGAAATGCAAATGGCCAATAGACACATGAAAAAATGCTCAACATGGCTGGTCATTAGAGAAATGCAAATTAAAACAACACTGAAATTCCATGGCTACCATCAGGAAATGAAATAACAAATGCTGATGAGGGGCTGGGGATTTAGCTCAGCGGCAAAGCGCCTGCCTGGCAAGCGCAAGGTCGTAAGTTCGGTTCCCGGTACCAGAGAAAACAAACAAACAAACAAACAAAAAAAATGCTGATGAGGCTATGGGGTAGGGGGAACCCTTCTACACTGTAGGAATGTAAACTAGTATGATCACTACAGAAATCACTATGAAGGCTCCTCCAAAAACTTAAAATGAATTTTGAGAACTAGGGATTTAGCTCAGCGGCACAGCGCCTGCCTGGCAAGCGTGAGGTTGTGAGTTTGATTTCCGGTACTGGGGAAAAAAAAAAAAGTTGCAGAAATTCCATTCAACCCAGCTATTCCCCTTCTATTATCTTCCTGAATGAGTAAAAGTTATTATATTATAGTGATACATGCATACTTATGTTTACAGAAGTACAATTCATAGTGGCTAAATCTTGGAAGCAGTCTATATGTCCATCAACAGATGAATGGATAAAGAAAAGTGGAACTTACCCTGCTTTAAAGAAGGACAAATTTGAGCCATTTGTAGGAAAATGAATGCACTTTAAATCCATAATGTTAAGTAAAATAAATCAGACACACAAGCCTAAATATTATATCATTTCTCTTATATGAGAAACCTAAAATTTTTTTTTTCTTTTTTTTGGTTTTTCTCTGGTACCAGGAACCGAACTCACGACCTTGCGCTTGCCAGGCAGGCGCTTTTGCCGCTGAGCTAAATCCCCAGCCCTGAAACCTAAAATATTTTAAGTAAACCCAAAGAGCAAAAGAAAAGACAACAGGAAATAGGGAGACAGACTTTCACAAATGGGAAAGGGAACAAGAGATGTTAGAAGGCGGAAGGGGAGAAGGAGAAGGAGATATGAAAAGAATTAAAATGTGTCATGCCCATGTACCAACTACCCACAATGAATGTATTCATTATGTACTGCAAATCTGTACCAATAAAGTTTCAAATAAACAAACAAACAAATGAAAATGCTATAGAATGGAGGAACACCTTTTGGTTTAGAACTTTTTAATGCTCTTCCTCTGTCCTCCAGTTTATCTGCTGTTCTTCCACCGACTGTCTTCTGGATCGCCTTCTCCCCAGCTGCGTCTGGGCTGCCATCTGGGTGTAACTTCTGAGCCTTTACATTCAGCCTTGCAACATTCAACATCTTTAGGGAACGACACATGGTATTCATCTTCTGCCTCACTGGAGTGCGAGGGATGCCTCCTGCCAAAATGACAGGGATGAAATGTCAACTAACTTTCTCTGCTGTGGAATCAAGAACTACTTGAATTCAGATGCCATGAAAGAACAATGAGGTCTACCCCTTCAGAATGATTGGGGTTCGGTAGTTCTTAAATCGTTTTCCACCCAAAACACAGAGCAGAAAGTCCTTATAACTGATATTTAGGAACTAAACAACTACATGTGATTAGATGAAGGCCACAGGGTTTACAGTGAAACTATAAAGACAATTTAGCAATCTGCATCAAGAGCCAGTTTTCATATTCTTTAATACAGTAAACTGTCCCTAGAAACGTCTAAGGAAAGCACACAAACATGCATGAGTTACTGCAGTGTTATTTAAGAGAACTGAAAACAATCTTAAATGCTTGACGTGAGCATTTGTAAATTTTGTTAAACAGTGAGGTAGAATAAAAGGCAGAGAGGCAGACGAACACATATTTATAAGGTAAATATGAAGTGTTATTTAAATTTCTGCCATTACTAAAAATGAAGGTAGTTTAGTGGACTGTGGGTGATTATTTTTATCATCATGGGTTTGGGATTATTTTCAAATCTCAAATATAAGAATTTTCCCTTGTTTATTTAGTTTCCATTTTAAACTCACTTCAGGGAATGTCAGTCTTTTTAAAATGGTGTCTCTAAAGACTGCCTTAGGAAATAGCCATTAGACGTGCTTACGTTTCTTTTTGGTATCTTCTTGGTTAGCTACAGTAGATTCTTTCCGAGATTTTCTCTTGTAGAGCTCGGACAGGCGATGTGTTAATTCACTTTCAGTTTTGGAAGACTGTTCCTTATTAGCTGAGGCAGCCTGTAGTAACCTGTAAAATCAAGATGTTTACAATAAAACAAAATTCTAATTTTCTGAAATGCTTTGAAGATGAACAAAACAGGAAAAAAATCTATTATCCTCTTAAAAACTAATCAACAGCTATCCTCACAGGGTGCCTTCAAAAATAGTTTTTCTTAGAAAGGGAAAAACCCTTCTCTCATTTTTTCTTTTTTTAAAAATAGTTAGTGAATTTTGGTATCTTACTATAAACTCCCCCCACCTAAACTCGTCCCGGAATTCTGTGTGTGGGAATTTGGAGGCTGGCCAGTGGTAGATATGTCCAAAAAGACATCACTAGACCCGTACTATGATCCCAAGTTATTCTCTGGCTGCATGATGTCTGTGTGGATAGCAAGATCTGAGTGCAAAACACAGACAGACACTGCTACCAGACACAGACGGAAACTACGCACACATTACAGCAGCCATTCCTTCTCTCATTTCTGATTTGATTAAACTCCAGGGCCAAAGATTCCTTGCTCACAAAACTATCTATGTATCTAATATTGACCTTTATTAACAGGATTCTTCATGAACTCGGGTGCACATGTAATTATGACAACGATCTCATACCTGGGCTTCCATAGTTTTTTAAACTCGGTTTCCATACCTTAAAGTACAAAATGATGTAATCCACTATAAGGAGTATTGTAATCACTGCTGAATAATTCTTCTTTTTTTTCTACATTCTTAGATTTCCCTGGTGAGGAAAATGGGCTTCCAGAATCTCCTCTGTCTTCACTCTGCAGTGGTTAAATCCCTGCCTATCCTCTGAATAATTCTTTTGATTAAAAAAAAGAACTAATATGGGGTTGATGAGAAAAGGAGGAAGTTGATAGGTGGAATATTTAGTTACTGAATGTTTTCCACCTAAAGATCAGTCACCAGGGAAATCATGAAAAGGTACAACATTCAAAAATGTATTATTCGCATTTCAGTATCTACGATCTGAGATCATCTGATTAAAACTGGGCGAAAGTTATAGTGCTATTGGCTGACTAGCGATCACAAACCAGAGTATGTGCTAGGATACCAGCTCCATGCATGTGGCTGGTCTGCAACAAATCAATTCTCAGGATATAGGGGTCCTTTAACAGTGGGACCATTTGCTGGTTTTTCATTTTGTTGTTGATTTTTCAAAACACAAACCCTTCAACTAGAAAAAGCATGGAATACAATATCAACAGAGAAGTATATACCTCTCACCAAGATTAAATACTTGGTAACAGTTTCTCATAGCTGCTTCAGATCCTTCTTCAAAGAAGCTAGGTATACATTATAGGCACAGATAACACCTTGACCCATGGCTTCCCACCTCTTTCCCACAGGAATTCCTAGATTTGTGTGTATCTTAGACATGTGTGTATAACAAACCTAGCATAAACTGCTACTTTATATTGTAAATTCTACATAAATATACCTCTTGCAATAGTTTGTAGTCAACACATTTTTCAGTTTTTCACGTGTATATAAATAGCTCTAGTTTATTCATTTTTACTAATCTACATATAATATTCTACTATGACTATATTGTCATATTATGCAGTTTCCTTCTGCAGGTCAACTGGTTCTTATTACATTTTTGTTATTAGTGACTAGTGATGAATAGGCTTCCTTGCATCTAAGAATGCTTTAATGTAGAAGTCTAGAAGTGAATTTCTGGTTATCGAGACTATGTGGTTTCTGCTTACCAGGAATTTCCAAATTGTCCTTGAACATGGTTGTAAGCGTTTATACTTCCACCACCTAAGGTTCATATTTTCTTAGGGGGTACTATCATATTTATTAATTTTTGATAATCTAATAGGTACAAAATAGGACTTTTTAATTTCTGTCTGCCAGAGTGAAGTACCTTCAAATGACTGGCTGTCGGATGATTTCTTCTTGTGTAATTTGCTTGCTGGCACTCTTTGTGTAATTTTTAGTTGTATTGCTTCTCTTGTGGATTTTTAGGACTTCTGTACTAATTTGGATACTAAGTGTCGATTGCCTAGATAAATTGTAGCTACTGACATCTATGACTTGTCTTTATACTTTAATACTCAAATTTTAGAATTTATTATAGTCAAATATGTTAATCATTTCTATTACAGATTGAATTTTTGTCTTTAAGAAATCCATCCTTGCTGGGCGTGGTAGTGCATGCCTGTAATCCCAGCAGTTGGGAGGCTGAGACAGGAGGACCACTGTGAGTTCAAGGCCAGCCTGGATTACATAGTGAGTTCAAGGCCAGCCTAGACTACATAGCAAGACCGTGTCTCAAAAAAAAAAAAAAAAAAAAAAAAAAAAAAATCATCCTTAATCTCAGGATTTTTATTTTCTTCTAACAATTTTAAAGTTTTGCTTTTTTCACACTTTACTCTTTATTAGGAACTTATTATCATACATTCTGTGAGGTGGTAATCTATCTACCTTTTTCTTATGGGTAGAAAAGATTTAGTAAACTGGTAAAGACTGTAAACTGGTAAAGATTTAGTAAAGAAAGTAAACTGGTAAAGATTTAGTAAATCTAGTAAAGATTTAGTTACCATTTAGTAAACTGGACCTATTCTTTCTCCGCTGTTTATAATGCCATCTTTGTTACTCTAAGTTCCCATACATAAATAGGTCTCATTCTGGACTCTACAGTTTTATTCACTGGCCTTCTGGTGCACCAATAGCATACTGCCTTGTTTACACAGAGCTTTACGGCAAATCTGCCTGTCTCATAAGGGGAAGTGCCTTGTTTTATCTTCGACCTTTATTCTTATTTTTTTTGTTACTAGGAATCAAACTCAAGATCTCGAGCTCACCAGGCAGAATTGCAAGTTTAAGTATAGCCTGGTAAACGTAGTAAGACCCTATCTTACAATTAAAAAATAAACGAGGAGCCGGGAGTGGTGGTCCACGCCTGTAATCCCAGCCCTTGGGAGGCTAAGGCAGGAGGATCATTGTGAGTCTGAGACCCTGTCTCAAAAAGACCAAAAAAAAAAAACAACAAATGGCTATACTATACAAGTTTGTTATTATTTCATTGATGTTTAATTCTGAATGGTTTCTGACATCCACAATACACAGGAGTGTTTTATTTGTATTTAATTTGACAAGTTAAAGCCTGCATGTAGAGAACCGAGAGTTGATTCTAATAATTAATACCCAGAGAAATAGAAAAGTTTTACCAAAATGACTCCATCAGATTTGAGCTGGCACCACTGATGTTAGAGAAAGTAAACCACTTCTCCAGGACAGCTGGGCTCCAGGGCTTTGTGCAGCTGAGCTCCTGCTGAGCCCACTCCGGAACTGGGGGAGCTGCGTGAACACAGGGCGGGGGGCAGGAGAGGAGATATTAGCACCACTGCAGCGCTCCAGGGACCTGCTCCTGTGGACCAACTGCCTCCCGCGAGACTTGAAAAGTGGCTTAACATTAATTTACCCCACCACCTACTACTGCAGGCCGACCCTGTGTCTGAAAATCGCACGAGCACAATTTAAAGTTTTTTTGTTCTTATTAGGGGCAGCAAATCCTTTCATCTTATTTCTAAGATGTTCTTCTAAAAACAGGGTTTAAAAACACGCTATTTTTCTATTCTTAAAAATGTACCTCTTTTTTTTTTTTTTTTTTTGAATGTACCTCTTTTTTTTTTTTTTTTTTTGGTCTTTTTTAGACAGGGTCTCACTATGCAGTTCAGGCTGGCCTTGAGCTCACTTTGTAGCCTAGGCTGGTCTGGAACTTGCAACCATCCTCCTGTCTCAGCCTCCTGAGTGCTGGGATTACGGGCGTGCACCACCACGCCTGGGTAAATGTACCTCTTTTACAAGTGGCTTTAGCATAAGAACAAATACAGCAATATAACAGCAGCATAAAACTACATAAGGTGACCACTGGAGTACATCAAGAGGGTAAATTTGAAATAGTATGATGTGGCACCATGTTGTGGGAAGTAAGAGTGAGTTTCCTTAAAACAAGCCTGATGGAGATTGTGGCTGGGCAGCACTAACATACACTTGAGTAAACTCCGTAATCCTGAGAGCGCCTTTCGGGACCTCAGACAAATGAAATTCTATATATTCAGGAACTCTCAGAGGAAGAAAACCCAAATACTGAAAACGTACTCAAATTCATTCGAGACTTTCAAGTTCTAGAAACTATTTCAGTGAGAGATTACAGAGATAAATGACACGGTGTCTACTCTGATAGGAGTTCCCAGTGTCAGAAGGGCAGATGGGCCAGGGGCCTTGTCATAAATAGGTACAAGCGTTGGCACGTGCTCAGTCAGGCTGGTAGACAAGGGAGGGCACAAGGAAAAATGGTACATGGACTTGGTCTGATGTATGCATTGGACCCACCTGGACAGTGTGCTGGGGAAAGTGGACAATAAATCAGCACACTGCTCTACACCCTCCAGCTGTCAGTCAGGTCACGGCACCGAGTACTGGGGAAAATACTGATTCTTCTTTTACCACATTCCTAAATACAGTTTCCAGACCTGCTTCTAAGACTATAAATAATTGAGGTATGGTCTGTTCTACTACAGTACAAATTTTCTGTAATACAAAGAGTTAACATATGATTGGCAAAGTAATGTCATCTGTACAACCCTAACCTTGTTTTGGTTGAGGTGTGATTATTCCTAAGGGGCTAACACTTAGTAATACCTAGTAGAGCAGCTGAAGTTGGCAAACAGCTAAATACAACAAGCCAGAGGAAGAGACTACCGTACCCTTCCACCTACACTCTCCTTGCCTGTTTGGTTATTTGCTCTTTCTGGAACATGCTTACTATGTAGTTCTCAATCTTTGTCACTGTCCTGTGTCCCCAAACTACAACAATCTCAACCCTTTTTCTGGCTTCCTCCCACCACGTTACCTTTTCAAAGGACAAAGCATACATATTATAGAGTTTACTTGTTATGAATTTATTGTTCCTTTTTACTAGAACTAGATTGTTCATTGGGGTTGCTACTAGTTTTTGTTACTACCAAAGATTTTGAGAAGTCTCAACCCGTTTTCTCAAAGCTATAATTTTAGAATAGGACTTTGTAGAATTTTTTTAAAAAATAAAGAAACCTCACATCACACTATAGCATTAATTCCTGTAAGTCCATTTGCTATGTCACATTGAAACATTCAGACAATGGCAGTAGGGTCTGTGGGAATGAACACAGAGTAAATTCCACAGTTAGGACACTGCTCTCACAACCCTTCAACTCCTGGGACCCCGGGATCCCCTTTTCTCTCAGCCTTCTGTTATCCTCACTTCGCTCCTTACCCTGACCGGTTCCATGGACAACCGCTGTAATCCCTTCCTGTTCCCCCTTTGAACACTTTCCCCTCTCTAGCTGCACTGTCCTCACCTGGTAAAACCCCAACCCTAGCCACTGCAGTACTCAGCGTGCTCTGTAACTCTCTCCAGCAGGTGACAATGCTGAAGGCGAACAACCTCGCTCATGAGGAACCTCATTTTACATTCACGACCGCAGAGGCAACCGTGCTCCCTTCCTGTCTTCATTCCTACTCACGTATCTTACTCCTTCCATCTGAAGTGCCAACACTCCATTAAACCTTTGCTGTCGGGCTGGGGATAGAGCTCAGTGGGACAGTGCCTGCCTGGCAAGCGTGAGGTCCCAAGTTTGATTCCCGGCACCAAAAAAAGAATGAAATAAAAAATAAAAATAAACCTTCCTTGTCAGCCAGTGACTACTTCCTGGCTCACCAAAAGAGCTAAGAACCCCACAAACTCACATCACATTCACTCGCCTCCCAGCAGCCCCCCAAATAGTTTTGCCTCCCCACTAGTTATCATAAGTGCATGTCCCCACGGTCAGCCTCTCCAGTTGTACCTTCTCCAAGACGGCTCACTGAGAACCCCCTCCCCAAAGTTTTTGTCTTAGTGCATCAGCATGCACGCATGCTACTATAGCTAAAAACCAAAACCAAAACCCTCGACTGCATTTCTCTGGCCACTGTCCATAGCTCTAACCTCCTTCACAGCAAAGCAACTCCCAAACACGGTCTGCCATAGCGTTTTCACTGCTTGTGTCACATTCTCTCTTGAAGCTGCTTGCTACTCATGTTTCCACCTTCCTCGTCTCACCAGAGCCCCCATCAAGATCATAAGCAACCTCCAAATCTTTCAGTCAAATGTCAACTCCCAGCCCTCATCCTCCTCAACCCATCGAGAAAGCAAATAACCCAACCCGCCAGGCCCTCTTCACCTGGCTTCCAGAACATCACACTCAGGGCTTTCCTCTACCTCATGCCTGCCCCTTTTGTGTCTCCTGCTGTTTCCTCATCCCCAGAGTGCTTTGTCATAGAATGCCAGGGTTTAGACCTTGGTCCCCTTCTCTTAGCCCTTTGGTTATATTAACCCATTTCATGACTTCAAATGCCACAGCTGACTCATCTCCAGCCCAGACAGACCTGCCGCTGTCTGATTCCTAGTGCAGACTATATTCAGAGGCCCAACTCAGATTTATGTCCCAAACAAACCCCAAATCCTCACTAGCCCAGTTACCTGGCTCTCCCACAGCTTTCCCCGTCAGGAAAGGTAACTGCTTTCCACTGGTTAGGCCCAAGCGCTAGTCATTTTCAGTATCCCCATACTGCATACCACCCGTGTGAGTTAAGGGCAGATTCTGTTGGCTCTTCCTTCAAAATATGTACAAAAACTCCAAGTACTTCTGTTATCTGCATTGTTACCCCTACCTCTTGCCTGGATTATTAGATATCTCTGATTGTCTCTTGCTATCCTTGCCTCTCTCTGGCCACTTCTCAACACAGCACCCAGAGTAATATGAATAAGATATAAGTCAGAGATTATGTCTCTGTGGGAAGCTCCCAAAGGCTTCCTCTCTTACTCCCTATAAAAGTCCAAGTCTTTTCACTGTTCTGTACCGTATACAATGTGGCCTTCTGCTGGCTCTCCGCCCTAGCTTCCTACCACCCCGCTCTCGGCTCCTCCCACCTCAGTCACAGGCCTCCTTGCTGTCTGGCCAACACTGGACACGTGCCCCTGTGTGAGCTTTGCACCTGCTGTTGCCAGGAAGGGCAACTCCTCCCATCTGCCCTCTAGCCTGTGTAGTACAGGTCTCTCTGACCACTTAGTGCTTAGAAGAATGCCTGGTAGATAGCAGGCTCTCGGTAAATCTGTTCAGTAAATGAATGAGTGGAAGAAATATCAAGTTGATTATATTGGAATTTACCTAGAATAATTAAGGTGTCATATTGTAATAATTTAGCAAATCTTAAAATAGACACAATCACTATAATTTCCCATACAGCCTTCATTAAAAGCCAGGATTTAGATTATGACTTTGATTTCAAACTGGTTTCATGGACTTTTCTTCAGCCTCCCCTGAAGTACTTCACGATTTCTATAAATAATGCTTTAAAGTGCCTGAAATACCGAGCTTGCTTTTTTGATTTTATGTACTGGGGTTCTGACTGCATTGTATAAAAGTTGTGACACTGGAAAAGATTGCAAACGACTCCAAACTGTTAGTTACTGGCTCATAAACTTACCAGAAGCAGCAGCATCTTCAAATAAACGATGAATCTGATTCAGTACACCATCTGTAACATCTGAGAAAAGGGACACTGTATCCTGAGGGCCTTCAGCCACGACTGTCTGGAGATAATGTCCTTGGAATTCAGCCTCTTTGGCGTGGAACACAGTGAGAATCAGAGCACTGGCAGAGAGCGGGGAAAGGATTCCAGTGACAGGGGGCCACCCTTCACCCGGGTCCACACTGGCAACCTACAAAGAGTTCTAATTAGCTATTAGAATATTGTCAATACGCCTAAAGAACATAGCTTAGTAAAAGGAATAACTGGCTATTAGCGGTAGAAGAGAATTTACTAATCATGTAATCCTAAAGTTCTGATTTGCAAATTAAAAAACCTAACACTGCCAGGAATATTTTTTTTTTTTTTTTTTTTGGTCTTTCTGAGACAGGGTCTCACTATGCAGTTCAGGCTGGCCTGGAGCTGACTTTGTAGCCCAGGCTGGTCTCAAACTTGCAAAGATCCTCCTGCCTCAGCCTCCTGAGTGCTGGGATTACAGGCGTGTGCCACCACGCCTAGCCTACTGCCAGGAATATTTACTAACCACTGATGTGCTGAATCCTCACAACCACTCTGAGGTAAAAAGATTGTCCTCATTTGGTAAAGGACCGAAGAGGCTGAGGAAGAAGCAACCTACGCAAGATCACCTGTTGTATGGGGAGATGCTAGGCACAACAGACTTCAAAATCCACACACCTAGGCACAAGGCAACACTACCACTTCAGGGTTTCTACGGAACACCCAGTGGGCAGCAGGGCTGCCCCCGCATCCAGACTACCTGACTCCACCAGTGCTCTCCTCACCAAAGCACTCGGCTCTTAGAACAGCACCAGCAGTGACCACCCAATCTTTCTCTGGGCTGGTCTACATCAGGACCCAGAATATAGGCATTGCTGGAGATTATGGAGGCAATGGAAACTACGAGAAGAGTAGTTTATAAATACCCATCGCTTTTAAATCAAATCTGGTTACACGTATGGTCATTTTCAGAAGACATTTTTATGTCTTAGCTATTGTGATGCTAGCATACCTAATTCCACAGCGTAACAGCTTTTTCTTAAATACTCATAAAAAAAGTAACCAATACAAAACAGAACATTTAAAAGTTAAAAAGAAAAAAAGAACTCACTCATCGCTTCACACTCTAATACAACCATTAGGTTGATCCCTTTCTCTCCTATATGACTCTAAGAACTTACTTGCATTCAAAGCAGCTACAATTTTTTTTGGTACCAGGAATCGAACTCAGGACCCCTTTATAAATGGTTTCTTCACTAATGAAGGACACCCTTAGCATCATGCTACAAAGGAGACAGCATTAGTCCCCAAAACATCATCCGTTTTCCAGGTCTGTTACGGGGGCAATCCTTGGGATTTTATAAACGTACTCATCTCAAGCTGTCCGGGTGTTCTGAGATAAGAATCACACAGCACGTGGAGGACACCTACCAGATGCAGCTCTTCAGCCATCAGACTGCTCACCAGCTGCTGAAATAACAGCCCTTGAGTCAATCTGTTCTCCTCTGGACTTTGTAGCATCCAGCTGTCGGTGCCCAAAGTGCCACTCATCGGGAGAGACCACTGGGCCACTGAGCCTTTCAGAAAGATTCTGACTGGGTTCTGAAAATGTCTCTGATACATGGCCAAGGGCTCTAGGGTGACTGTCCATGTTTCTTGAATCTCTTTGCCTGTGAGAAAAAAAGAGTATTAAAAATTCTAAAATAAGAGAAATTATTACTAAAAAGAGATTTAACAATAAAAACATCAGATTTCCAGTTTACGTATTAGTACTGCCACTTTCTTCCCATTTCCATGCTTACTTCTACTGTCAGCAAGCTACCACAGCAAGGGACAGACTCTGTAGAAAACGCTACACCCAAATGGAACTGCAAGGGCAAGATGGGATGCCAGAACTCCTCAATAATTGTAAGTTAGTTTTTTTTCCTTTTTGGCTTTTTGAGACAGGGTCTCACTATGCGGTTCAGGCTGGCCTTGAGCTGACTTTGTAGGCCAGGCTGGCCTCGAACTCACAGAGATCCTCCTGCCTCAGCCTCCCAAGTGCTGGGATTACAGGAGTGTGCCACCACACCTGGCAATAATTATAACTTAGAAATGTGCAGTCAAGCAATGTTTTTTCTGTGCTGGGGACTGAATCCTGAGGCTCATGCACTCTAGGCAAATGTTCTAGACACATAAGATGATAGGAAATTAACAATGGTTATTATACTGCATATTGTTACCTTCAAAGCACTAACTGTTCCTTTCAATGAACTAATAGAAATTAGTAGTACAATTATCTTAGCTATCATGTATGTGTCCATATGTGTATTCCTTCCTTTCCCTCATCCCACTTCTTAAGCCCATAAAATACAGTGCATCGTGTCTTAGAAGGAGGTTAAATTCTAAAGACTGAATGATGAACTCCTTAAATAAAACTACTCAAAAACTCCTCTAAATTCCACACAGCACACAACAGTTTAATGTATGCATCTCTATGCAGTATATTTCTGTGAGTATATAATGTATTTAGAAATAAGACTCACCATATAGGAAATCACACAGTGAAAGAAGTCTGTGAAGATTCCAATGTGATTTTGGGATTTTGTAGACTAATTTATTTCTTCTCTTAGTTAATCAACGACTCTGTACAGTTTTCATTTTATCAATCTCTTCCAATGCCAATAAAATCTGAACACTGATATGCTTGGGTATCGGACAATATTATGCCTCTTTGGGAACAGCCAGGAAATTCTTTTTTAAAAAAATCACTTCCATGTTCTTTTATACACATGACCTGGCAATTCCGCTGTACTGGAACTCAGTCCTTTCCTGGGGTATCTCTGATTTCACTTACATATTTTTAGATATTTTCAATTACAGGCATTAATTGGGTGCCCAGGCAGTGAAAAACGCTAAAGAAGTTGAAAGCATGACCTGTCTTGAAGAAGTAAATATACCTAGGACTTTAAAACCTCCAAAATATTATTTGCTTACCTTTAACAGGGAGAAATAACGCTCCTTCCGTCCGTGGAAATGAAGCTTCATACACAGCAGAATTATAGAGCAAATAGTTTAAAGTGGCATCAGTGGGCAGAGCTGAAATCCACGGAGAAAGGTGAGGCTCACTTGACATCTTTGCTTCACCCTCAAGCATTGTCTCCCCAGCTTTCGTGAGACCCCAGCTGAAAGTTTCAGGCGGCAAGACAGTGCCTCCTCCATGGTGGAGCAGTTCACAAATTGTCCAGTACCCAACATGGTCTGGGGACTCCCACAACTAAAATAAAGACAACAGAGGATCAGGTCAGTGTAAATTAGGCACTCACGAATAAAGTTAAAGGAAGTAAAGCTGATACCAATGTTAAAAGATTAAGTTACAAAATTAATATATTTGTCAGACCAAGCACAAACACGGCCAGGATCCACTGCTGTACCACCCAAGAACATGATGACTGCAGAACATGCCTTCAAGAAAGCATTCATTAGGGGCGGGGGATTTAGCTCAGCAGCATAGCACCTGCCTCGCATGCGCAAGGTCATGAGTTCGATTCCTGGTACCAGAAAAAAAAACAAACCATAAAAAAAAATTAAAAGAAGAAAGCATTCATTTGACAAAACACACTTCATCTATATTTTCTGTCAAAGAATAGAACTAGGTATCCATCACGAAGTATAAAATATTAAGAGTCAGAAGGGGTACAAACTTTTATACGTTAATAAAAATAATTCTGCCTCACACAACGTAAGAGCAAACAGGTATTACAGAAAGAGGCAGCAGGGGCATACCAATCTGCTAGAGTATGACTGTCACTCTGCTTAGTCCACCGTAGGTCTAAGCGACCTAACGAGCCCTCATCAGCTTTAACTGAAGCTCAGTCATCTCTTCCTGCTTTGTTTTTTTTTTAAAGATAAAATGATACAAAATTTCAAAACAAGATGATAGGAAATTAACAATGGTTATTATACCGCATATTGTTACCTTCAAAGCACTAACTGTTCCTTTCAATGAACTAATAGAAATTAGTAGTACAATTATCTTAGCTATCTTGTATGTGTCCATGTGTGTATTCCTTCCTTTCCCTCATTCCAGTTGTTCTTTCTTTTTGAGCAGTTTCTTTCCCTTTCACAACATCTATTGTACCTTTTGGATCTTATTCACTCTTTCAGTTTCTCACACTAGGGAGACAATACGATGTTTACACACGCGAGACTGATGTATTTCACTTGAGTATGTTCTCAAGTTGCATCCATTTACCTGTAAGTCTCAAGTTTATCTTTCTTTATAGCTGAGTATAAAAATACCACATCTTTTTTATCCAATCCTCAGTTGATGGCCATTTGGACTGTTTCCAAGATTTAGCTGTTACAAATTGTGTTGCCATAAACACGGGTACACATATATCACCGTGCTACAATGTTTTTAATTCTTATTCCAAGAAGGGGAATAGCTGGGTCGAATGGGACCTTTAATCCTAGTTTTCTGAGGAATCTCCACATTGATTTCCACAGTAGCTGCACCAGTCTACACTCCCACCAACAGTGGAGAAGTTCCTTTCACCCCACAGCTCTGCCAGCATTTGTTATTGGTTGATTTTTTGATGATGGCCATTCTTTCTGGGGTAAGATGGAATCTCGGTATTGCTTTAATTTGCGTTTCTTGGGTGAAAAATGATGTTGAACATTTTTTCATATATTTATTTGACATTTGTATTTCTTCATCTGAGATATGTGTATTCATCTCAGATGCCCATTTTTGGATTGGGTCTTTGAATTTGTGGGTTCTGATTTTATTTTTTTTATTTTTTTGGGGGGTTCTGATTTTTATAAATTCTCTCTATGTTCTAGATAGAAGTCCTTTGTCTGAAGGACAGTTGGCTTTTTCCTGAATTCTTACATAGCCTATAAAAAGGCTGTGCCCTATCTCTAGCCTTTCCTCTAGTATTCTTCCAAATCATATATTTGAGCATACTACTTCTCTGAAAACTTTCAAAGACTTCCCACCACTTCCAGGATAAAGTAACTCTTTCGCATATCTATGAAGTTGTTCACAACACATTATCTTCTATTTCCTCTACCCAGCATCCTGATACTATAGGATAATACCACGGGAATAGGAGGAGGAAGACCTACCCTAGACTACTATAAGCTGCCATGAATGGGAGGAAGGTGATATAGTCAAGGTCATCTAGGCAGTCCTCTAAACTTCCATGACATTCAAGTTCAAAGAGGAGCAGGGAATTATGCACAGATTCACCAAGGCAATAACAGGCCAGTCAAAGAATCCAAGTGTCTTAGCAGCGCTAGCAAAATTGATCCTTTGATGGGAACCATCATTTGATGGATCAATTAGTTTATGATCAGTATTAAAAAATAAACAAAGCCGGGCATATCAGCACACACCTGTAATCCCAGCAATTGTGAGGCTGAGGCAGGAGGATCATTGTGAGTTCGAGACCAGCCTGGGCTACAAAGTCAGCTCAAGGCCAGCCTGAACTGTGTAGTGAGACCCTGCCTCAAATAGACAAAAAAAAAAACTTGAGAGACCTCCTACCAATATGGACAATGTGGGGAGGCCAACTCTGATCTTAGTGAATGAACTGACTTAAGGGAGAAAACATTTTTAGGTAAGAAAAGTGTGAAAG